TGGTGGTGGCTGGAGAGGAGGGGGTGGTTTCCAAGGGAGGGGTGATTATAGTGGCAGAGGTGGATATGGAGAGTCATATGGTGGAAGAGGTGGAGGAGGATACAGAAGGTACTAATCCTAATGATTAATAGTACATACTTCCTACAAGGAGCAGGAGGTCCAAAAAAACTTAGCACCATGATGGCCAAACTTTATTGACCCCTCCTTATGATTAATTGCTGTTATTCAGCTCACTATGAGCTACTTTGCACATGATGGATTTCCAACACAGATGTGACTTCCATTTATGAATGTGCATGTACACCGGCATGTATCACACATGGTACATTATATTTAATACGAAGCCCTGGTGGATAGACAGGTCCTTTGTTGTAAATATGCAACAAAGGATATTTGAGCATGTTGTATCTGTTTACAGGAAGGCCCCCATATCAGTGGTTTCAGTATTTGCGGTTTGCTGCAGCCCTCTGTACAATGTATAAGGGTTGTATATAGAGTTCCCTTGTATTCAAAGTTTCAGGTGTTCACAGTAGATCATGGAACCAATCCCCTTCAAATATGGGGGTCCTATTATACTGATCTTGCAGGGTTTCTAGAAGTGATATCCATGTAGAAAATATGTCATGTATGAAGTGACCCTAATTGCTTTAAGTGAAAAATGGTATATTAAAGGAGTAGATATAAATTCTGACACCATTTGGTGCATCTGTGTTTTATGTAATATACTCAGTTTCTGAAATATGTTCTTAGACTATTCAGATGTCCCAGTGATCGCCTTCTGCAAGGCATAATATGCTAGAATTGGCTTTAATTCTTTTTATAACGCATCTATGGAAACAGTTGAAAGTATGCAGTTTCTCTAGCTAGAATGTATGCTTTTTACCAAAAGCAGAAATACTTCCAACAGGTTTCCAAAGAGTTGCAATCTATATTTTTGGCAGGGAAAGAGTGGAGGGGAAAGTTTTTCTTATGCTCTTCACCAGCTTTTCCCCCTGAAGTTCTGAAGGGACCAGGGTGGCTGTGCAACGGCAGGAATTTCCTGCCCATCTGTGCAGCTTCAGAGCTAAGAGGAAGTGGTTTAATTCAGAGGGCAGAGTCACCATTGCCACAGTGAACACAATTGCTGCAGTGTGATTATAACCAGTCTTGGTAAGCCAAATTCCATGAACAGTATTTGAAGACCTTGTGTAAGAAATAGAGATGGGCACGAACCATGGCTTGGTGGTTGAGCCAAGTCTGGTCACAGGTGTTCCCCAGGTTCTGTTTACTTCCCCCCACACGATTGTCCATCCACCAGCAGCAGTGCACTTCCCTCCTCTGCCTTCTCTGTGTGATTCTCACTCACCAGCAGCGCTGCAGCCTTCCATGCCTTGCCTCCTCATCTGAGTGGATGACTGCATGGGGAAAGCAGAGGAGGGAAGCACACTGTTGCTGGTTAGTGGGCGATCATGTAGAGAAGGTGAGGAGAGAGATGTGGTGGTGCAAGCAAATGGGCAATTGCACGGGGGAAGGAAGCACACAAATATTGTAATTCCCAGGTTGAAGCAAAACATGTTAACTCTATGCATGAAACATCTTGCAGAGCTATAAAACTAAAGGAAGGAGGGTTTCGGCTCCTTCCGAGGTCTCAATTTCTGCTGCATTCCTGCCCCAGAGACAATTATTTTTCTTTTTGTCTTACATAAAGACTTAGGTTTACACACACAACTGTATGGAGGGTTATTTTCTTTTAATCAGTCGTATCAATAATAGATCTAAGGGCTATTCCCAGCCTGAAGAGAAACCTGAAGAATCCATACCGATTTTTAATGAGTCAATTTAATTAATTTAAAAAAATCCCTGCCCTCCTTAAATGGTACAAAAGACATTAGATATCAAGTAAAGCATCACCAATCATTGATAATTTGATTGTGGTAAGTGTTTTATCACCCACTTAAAATGCAATAATGAAATGTCTATATTCAGTTTTGAACATTTCTATGAATTTTTGTATGTTTTAAACCTGAGTCGTGTATTTTGTAACATTTGTGTTTTGTGTACATAGTCTACACATTAAGAGCAGTTATGCTTTGTTTGAACACTTTCCTTGAGGTTTATTTGTGTGAACGGAACATCTGTATTTGCTCTTTTGATGGCTGTGTAGAAATTTTATTGTGTTAGTTTAAGTTAGTGAGCACTGACAAATAAAGATGATAAAATTGTTACTTGTAGCTTTTTTGCATATTGAATGCCACTAGTAAACATGGTTTGGGGTTATCTTAAAATGGCATCAGATACTTTGTTGTTTAGTCATTATGTCCCACTCTTCATGACCCATGGACCAGAGCACGCCAGGCCCTCCTGTCTTCCACTGCCTCCCTGAGTTTTATCAAATTCATGTTGGTAGCTTTGATAACACTGTCCAACTGACCATCAGATACTACAAACTGCCAATGTGACAGTGGCTAGCAGTTTCTACTGATGTAGCAAACTACCTATATCTGTCCATGCATTTCCTAAAAGTTTTCTGGAGGATATCTGTAAAACATTGCAGGAAGTCCAAGAAATTTGGAACATACACATGTTCCAGTTCAGCTAAGGGCACCTTTTCTAGTGTGGAAAACATGGACTATTTTCCTAGTGGAGAAATTCATACTGTTAACACCTAGACTGGGTTCCCAGTAAGAAGCCAAGTTTGGTGGCTAAATATGGCTCCATATCTTGGTCAAAGCAATCCTGTGGGGGGTGAGAGGGGTTTTGACAATGGAACTGTGGGACTCATGTTGGCCAAGAAGCAAGGAGGAGGCTTTTCCCTCCTTTTTTTCCCCTTGACAATTTTATTTTCCTTGCACCTTTTTAAAAGGGGGGGCCAAAGAACAGTTTTACATCTCCAACCTGAGCTTTTTATAACACACTCCAGAACACCCACTTTCCACATTATTCAAACAGTGCCAGAAAGAAAACCATCCACAGCAGTTGTTGTTTTTTTTCCTGTAGTTATAGCAGCAGACCTGATCTATTTGTTAGCCATGGGACCATGTAAAGTCTGCAGCGCTGCATCCTACCTATATCTTCCACTGAAGGAAGAAGCACACTGCTTAATTACAGGTTGCATTTCTGCCATAATTTATCCATTGCCCAGTTTTACTCTCATATAAATGTGCTTTAATATGTTGCTAATTGGTGTTGACTCCATATCTAGCATGTCAGAATCAGCAGGTTCTTAGTATAGTTAATTCTCCAGAATTAACATGCCATTTCATCATAAATACTACTTGTTACCATGAGGCGGGGGGAAACGCTTTTTAAAAAATACTCTGCCTACAACTGTTGGTGGGGAAGAACTTTGGCACGTGCCCATGTCATGGATAGCGCTCCACTGAAAGTCTTTCAATACTTTTATCAGATCAGTGCTACAGTGAACAGATTCACTATGCAACAGGAATAAAATACTGTAATTTCATTTTAATAAATACCAAACAAAATGCACTTTAACGATCATTTACAGCCTGTATATTTAAAACATTTGTTCCCTTTGAACCAGCTTTACAGAATTTTTTGTCAGGTGAAAGCAGATTTGTTTAAGAAGAGGAAACACAACTGCTACTGCAACATCACATTTTAAAGCTGTTTTGCTTCTCGTATTTTCAAACAATTATACAGATGAGGTGAGCCTAGTAATTCCAAGGATGTAATATTTGTATTTATGTGACAGTTGGCTTGGATATCATGACACAAGTAGTACTTGCTAAAATTATTGTGGTAGTGAAGCCTCCTCACACATGCATCAGTTCAGGAGAAAAAAAGAGGATAGTCTTCAAGTACTGTACTTGGGCTTCATATGTGGACATCCTTAATAAAGCAGTAAGAATAAACTGCAAAGGCCAATTTTCAGCCCAGTCTGGACAGGTAAAGGGGCTTTCTTGGGTAGACCGATCTGCCTGTACTTCAAATAAGCAAGGTAGTTCAGATCAGAGAGCTCCAGGCAGGCAGAAAGGCATTGGGCCACAAACACTGGGAGACCGCTTAGCAGCACTCAACTTCCACTGGATACCATGGCGACTGAGGCCTTCAAAATATGGTGAGAGTATTCTGTGAACTTTGAATCCCACTAAAAAATTACAAAGTAGACCAATGCAACCCTCTTTGGGATGGTGTAATCCGAGCCTTCAGGTTAATTATTAACTGCATAACTTCCTTTGGGCAAAATGAAATTTCCATGCAGTTGCCAAAGGTAGCTCAGTATTGTTCATTCATAATTGTGTGCCATCAAGTATGTTATGAGTTATGGTGACCCTTTTCTCAGTTTTCTAGGTAGAGAGGACTCATAATTGGTTTATCCTTCCCTTCTTCTGGGAGCACCTTGGGACAGTGCAGCTTGCCCATGGTCACACAGTCTGGTGCTTTTGGAACGCACAGCGAGGAATTGTAAATGTCTAAAGCTTCTTTGGCCATCACTCCCAAATGTCACATTAGCCTCTTCCTTCCAGACAAAAACCTTATTTCTCTTAGGGAGATTAGAATTAAAGAAATGGTGACTAACTGGGAAGTAAGTGTCTTTTCCCCTGCTTTGCACCAATAAAGCAGTTTTCAGAGAGAAGTAAAGCAGCAAAAGAAGCCGCCCACAGCAGAAAAAGGTGTGCAGATCACTTTGATTCCCTGTTTCAGGCTGAAACAGGGAGACTTCTTCGCTACACAGTACAAAGAGCTCTGTATGTGGAGGAGTACATGTATTATTAGGGTGTACATGAGAATCTCTTGTGGTGCATGTGACTGGGAAAGAAGGAAAGAGGGATGTGTGTGTATGTATGTATGCATGCTTGATTTGGCTCCACTGCTGGTTTGTGGACCTTGAGCACTCTCCCTAAAAGGAATAAAGCCTTTTATCTCATGCAGACCAATGCTAGTTTCAGCTGTATGTCTTGGGGTCCTATTCGGGTTTACATGTGGCGACAGCTGTCCTATACATGGGGAAAGGTTGCTAAATGAGGGCAAAAGTATCCGAAAGAAAAAAGCAGGCACTGGTTAAAAGAGCCAACTGATTTTTCATTTCTAGAGTTGCTAGACATGTTTAGTGTATCACTTCTAGGCTTCAACTCAATTCAGCTTTAGAGAATCATGCATAATTGGTTTTAAATATTATATAAATATTAATAGTCAAGTAAAGGTAGTAATATTATCAGATTTACCTAACAGTAGAATTGCAGCCAAACCCTGAAACAAACACATTAAAATTACATAAACTACTCTATACAGAATTTTACAGATTATGCTGGGCTTTACAAATAAAAATACAAAAAAAAAACCATTTAACAATACAATTACTCTAAAAAGAGAAAACATGTATTGGCACATAAAGTATGAGTATCACCATAATCAGTCAGTTAATACATCACACTGATAAAAAATAAATTATGGAATTTGTGTCTGGAACCAAAGTTTTAAACAGAGGCTGCAAATAAATATAATGCAAGGTACATACAGATCGTGAAGTGTCTGATAATCTTACTTCATAGTGTATTATTTATGTCAGTTCAAAAATCATTGTAAGATAGAAAAGCAAAGTAAACATGGCATTTGACATTTCTTCTGCTATTTAGTTATAAGCATGATTAACTAATAGATATAGGAAAAGTTAATTTTTTGGACTAGAGTTTCCAGAGTATGCCAGAAAAACATGACTAGTAGCCATACTGGCTGTAACCTTCTGGGATTTGTAACTCTAAAAAAGTAACTTTTCCAATGTCTCAATAACTTCCATTGAATATTCAGAAATGTAGTTATTAAACTATTGATTTAACTTACTCCCTGTTGGAGAGGGTACCCTTGCAATTGTCTTCATCCAAGCCAGGTTTTGAAGCTGTGTTCCTAAATCTGAACACAACACTCTAAGAATCACATGATATTTTTCTAAAATATGTGTGAAGACATGAATATACATTTCAATTTTCATGTGCTTTATGTATTACATAGGAAAAGAACTAAATGGAGTACACAGTACACCAGTGTCTGCCTCAAGCTGTATGCATAATTGGATCAAGCAACTCAAAGAATGAACTGTCTCATAAAAGCTGGAAGAGAAGTGTAAAAACATTACCCTGGTAGAAGATTCAAATGAATGTTGGCAAGATTCATAAACAGGATGAACATTAAAGTTACAACTTTTTGGCACTCCTAAACAAATGTGTTACTGCCTCCCCACTCCCAAAGCCATAACAGAAATGCTGTTGGAATATAATTATGCCAAAAATTGAACTACGTTAATTTAGAAACAGGGTGATTAATTCTTATATAATAATCTAGATTGCACAAATCAGAGAAAATAAGTGAAAATCCATGATACTTTGAACTGAAAATGAAGATGAACATCATACAGTGGTGCCTCGACTTACGACCATAATCCGTTCCAGAAGATGGACGTAACTCGAAATGGTCGTAAGTCGAGGAAAGGAAAAAAGAAAAGCAATCAAGCGTGCAAGATCCATTGGAAATGCACAGAAAACAAATGGAGCAGATCGGAAATTTACAGAGAACAAAGGGGGCAAGTCGGAAATGCAAAAAAAAACAAAGGAAAAAGCACGGGAGGAGCGGGCAGGACCCATCAGAAATGGGGAACCCCCCAAAAAGCAACCAAACCCCCCAAGACCCATCGGAAATGGGGAAAAACATTCCAAAAAGCAACAAAAAACCCCAAGACCCATTGGAAATGGGGGGAAACCCCCCAAAAACTACAAAAAATCCAAAACCCATTACAAAAACACCCAGAACAGTTTTTAAAAAGCAGAAAACACCACCTTACCAGGCAGCCTCCTCCGATCCCATACTCTCTAACTGCTGGGGCGAAAGAGCTACAAAGAAGCAGCCTCGTCACCACCTACAGTTAGAAATTTGAATTTCCCGCCTTTTCCCCCGCCTTTTTCTATTCGTAAGCAGAAGCTCCAGTTTCAAGTAGAAGCAAAATTTTGCGGCCAGAGCTGGTCATAATTCAAAATGGTTGTAAGCGACGTTCATTAAGTCAAGGCACCACTGTAATTCATCAGAAAGTTACCTTTGTTATGTGATAATCACTATCTACATGTGGGCTGTGTATGATTGCACTTACATCTCCAGGAGGATTTCAGGAATTACTTTGAAATGTAAATGGACCTTCAATGTTTCCACAGAAGAATGATCATGTGCAAATATCTTCTCCGGAAAACAGTTTCTTGCTGGGACTGGACCCACAGTTCATATACGGGGAAGCATTTAACAGCTGTTCTGTATCTTTCGTAAGCAAGGAAACAAGTGAGAATCTGCTTGTGAAAGAACACATTTACTTACAGAAGTGCTTATGTGAATGAACCTATGTGAAAGTGGGCTCCTTGAAAATGCCTATTCTGAACTGCATGGAGTTTGGAGCAGGGTGCCAGCGGTGTTGGTTCTGCTAAGGCAAGAACCGACTTGGAGAGTTAAGCTACGTTTCATACATGCGACTGTGTGGTGAAAAATCATCACGGTCTTTTCTCTATGTTGTGTTTATTCATGCGCTTCTATACTATTTTTAAAGAAGATGAGATGCAACTGTGTGGTGAAAAATCATCACAGTCTTTTCTCTATGTTGTGTTTATTCATGCGCTTCTATACTATTTTTAAAGAAGATCAGCTAGAGTAGTGGCTCTCAACCTTGGGTAACCCAGGCGTTCTTGGACTGCAACTCCCAGAAACCACAGCCAGCACAGCTAGGGGTGAAGGCTTTAGGGATTTACAATCCAGGAACACTGGGTTACCCAAAGTTGGGCACTACTGAGGCAGAGTGAAGAATGTTTGCTACAGTATGTGCCAGCTAGTCACTTCCAACTTATGCTAACTATGAATTAGTGATATCCAAGAGATCCTGTCATTAACAGCCCTGCTCAGGTCTTGAAAAAAGTCCAGGACTAATATCCAAGAGATCCTGTCATTAACAGCCCCGCTCAGGTCTTGAAAACTGAAGTCCAGGACTTATTTTCTTGGGCAGTTCTTTCCATGAACTGCTGCACAATCATAAGAGAACTCAAAATTACAAGTTTTGAAGGTACAGAGACTCTTGAAATACCAATTCAAGAGCCTCGTGGCGCAGTGGTTAAAACACTGTACTGCAGCTAAAACTGTGCTCACGACCTGGGGTTCAAATCCCAGGTAGCCGGCTCAAGGTTGACTCAGCCTTCCATCCTTCCGAGGTCGGTAAAATGAGTACCCAGCTTGCTGGGGGGGCAATGTGTAGCCTGTATAATTAAAAATTGTAAACTGCCCGGAGAGTGCTTGTAGCGCTATGGGACGGTATATAAGTCCAATAAATAAATAAATAAATAAATAAATAAATTACCAGACAGCAGGTACATGGAAAGTGACACTTGCAGGGAATCTTTCATAGGCAATGGCTGTGACACTCAGACTAACTCCTGTTAGTATTGCACAGAACAGCAAACCACTTCTGAATATTTTTAACCTCAAAAACCCTATGATAAAGCAAAGCAAATTGTGCTGCTTATAGTGCTTCAAACACTCTCTGGGCGGTTTACAAGTTAATTATGCAGGCTACACATTGCCCCTCCCCAGCAAGCTGGGTACTCATTTTACCGACCTCGGAAGGATAGAAGGCTGAGTCAACCTTGAGCCGGCTACCTGGGATTGAACCCCAGGTCGTGAGCACAGTTTTAGCTGCAGTACAGCAGTTTAACCACTGCTCCACGAGGCTACATAAGATAAGACAACACAAAAGGCATTAATCTGAGAGAGACAAAGAGAGTCAACCACATAACAAATCCAGCTTCCAGCTGAAATCAACAGGATCTAACCCTTGGCTGAAACCTATCCTAAATCAATATTCAGCGTATTAGAGAAACAAGATGACAACTTTTCATGTGATATTTCCAGAATTCCCTACATTGTTCCAAGTAGATTCATTTTTAGATTTCAGCTTCCAGTATTGCCCACACCTCCAGTTCTACATATAAACAGTTCTGTTACAATATTTCTTTATGCATTCTTCTTTAGCATTGGAATCTGGTTACCTTGTTATGAAGATAGCAAAAGTACCCTGTGCCCTAATTAAGAGAAATTCCAAATGAAATCATTTCCACCAAAAAGAAGAACTGTTTTAAACCTGTGAACAGAGAACGCATGCATCCATGTGTATTATTAACAAGCAGCCCAGGAAGATCCAGCACACACACTTTTGCTTTGAATCCTGCTACTCCATGTTAATGGGAATGCATCATCCCTAAAGACTCGTTCACCTTCACCATCTTCTACTGCTCCTCACTTTTTTAGCTACAAGCAGCCTCCATGTTCTCTGCTGTCCAAAATGTGGTTTCTTCGAATGCTGAGGAATTCAATTTTCTTATGTGCTTGTTGAAGCTGGAGCTTTAAAGCCTCATTCTCTGCTGTAAGAATATTTTTTTCCTAAACAAAAATACAAGTGTTATCAGAACAAAATAAACTTCAGAAAGTACTGCAGTATTTTCAGCCCTACTTAGCCCGAGTGCTTCCTTCCCTGGCATTCGATTCTCTATGTATCTGTATTTATTTTATGTATTTATTTATTCTATTTATACCCCGCTTATCTGGTCAATACGACCACTCTTAACCACTCCTTCAAATTATAACAGCTGGAACAATAAATGGGGTGAAAGATACACAGCTGTGTGCTTAAGAGAGAAGCAATTGTTGCTGTTGCATCTCTCAAGAAAGTACTCCATAGGCTGGTAAATGTGTGCTTTCAAATGAAAAATACATTTTCTAAATGACTGTAGGGAGAACACATCTGATCTAGAAGGTAGACACCCAGCACATGTCTACTGCTCTCCATTCTGAAGAGAAGGAGGAAAAGAAGGGGAGACAGTGGTTTCCCAGCTAATGCAAATGTCCAAAGATGCAATGATTACAAGCAATTAAGTCTGGGAGAGGGGCATATGAGATGCCAAGCCTTTTCCAAAGTTTTGCAACAAATATCATTTTCCAAGCCAGGCAATGAAATCCACTTTTTCCACAGAAACATACTAGTTACATGAGAGTGTAGTGTAGTTAACACTGCTTTGGAAATGCTAGTATGCTGATCCTGTTAAGGGCAAGCTCTTGGACATCAGTTGTTTTACATCGTGCTCTACAATGTGAATAATCTTGCATGGATGAACCCAAATGGGGATAAATTGCATTCCTTTAAAATACATGCAGGATATTGATATTTCCAAGCTTGGGTTTTTCAGAACTCATTGCTACACTTCAGCCCATGAAATATTTTCAAGCAGCCATTCAAAAATAGCTTTTATTTTCATTTATTTCTTGGTTGTTGCCTTTTTGTCCCTAAGGGCCACTTTCAAATTCAATTTTCTTTCACAGACACCTTTTTGGCACAACTGAAAAAGAGTAGTGATATATAGCTCAATTGGGGGGGGGCGCTCACCCCAAAATTTCCAGTGTGTGTGTGCCTCCCAAGCATGAGCTGGCTATATTCAGAAAGTACCAAGATCCTAAAATTACCTATGTGTTTGCTCAGGAATGTCAATTCTTTCACTGAGCTTTCATACGATTATTGTGGAATCGCCCATTTGATAAACATCAGAATTTCCAGATGGATTTTTCAGGCACAAACAATTCAGGCCCATCTAACATTCCTTGTCTTTTAGAATCCCCTGACAAATCACCCTCCCTCAAAAGGCTAGCAATATTCCTTTCAGTATCTAAAAAGGATCTTTTGCTGTTTCTGATAAACTAGATAAGGTAAGACAACATGTAAATACCACTAATAATCACAGATGATTACAGTGGGGTCTTGACTTACGAACGGCCCAAGTTACGAACATTTTGACTTACGAACCGCTCTCATAGGAAAATATTGACTTGACTTACGTACTTAGATTTGAGTTACGAACTGAAAAAAAACCACGTGGGAGGCAGGAAAAGTGCAAAATTTGAACTTTCAGTTAACTGTTGGCCAGTGAAAAGGGTGCCTGTCTGCTTCCTCACTCCTCCCAGCGTTTAGAGAGTGGATTGGGAGACGGTCTTCAGACTGCCTGGTACTGTACTGCCTGGACTGTATTTTCCCTGCCTTCCCTGAACCTTTCTTGTCCTAAGAAAAAAAGAAACAAAATATCCCCCTCTAGTGGTCAAAGGCAGAATAGCAGCTTCCCATTAGTTTCTTTGGACGGAAAAGAGCAGATACCGATCAAATGGTTTTCAATGCATTCCTATGGGAAATGCAGATTTGACCTGCGAACCTCTTGACTTGAGAACCGCCTTCCAATACGGATTAAGTTCTCAAGTCAAGCCCCCACTGTAAAGGGTTTCAATTTAATTTAAACTGTTCACTGTCTTACTTCTGAACCATTAGCTTACCCCTACTTACCTTAGATGTTTAACCCCTTATTATTTCTTTTTATTTAGCATCAGAAGTAACAAGGATGCTTCAGAACAAGGCCAAAAAGGCTCAGGATATGAGCAAGTTTTTATACATGGAAGCTAATTTTTAACTAAGCTGAGCTATACGTAAATATAAAACTCACTAACATCAGTATATGTTATTATGCACATTCACTGTGTTCAAAAGTACTTCCTGTATTCAAACTGGGGCTGCACATTTCAGGAACATTTTAATAATTTGTCCCACTGTCCATTTGTAGGATTGATGCTTACATATTTTCATTTTTATTTCATTATTACATTTATAAAGCTTGCTCTTCTAAGGAGTTCAAGGTGGTCATCACAGCTCCTCCTTGCCCAGTTTTATCCTCACAACAAGCCTGTGCTGGAGACTGGGGTGAAAAACAACGGCTAGGCCAAACTCACTCGGGGAGTTTTACAACCGAGTGAAGATCTGGATCTCTTCAGTTTAGTCGGATACACTACCCTCAAAACCGACCATGGCTTTCATTCTTTACGGAGGAAATACTGTATTATTAATGATTCTCAGTGATTGTTTCAGTACCTGCTCCAGTTCCTGGTACGTGGGTTTTAGAACATGTGGCTCTTTTGTTTTTTGACTGTAGTCTTTGTTTTCCCATTTCACATAAGCCTTTTTACGGCTAAGAACTGGGCTTGGACACGGAGATAAAGGTGTAGGCTGGAGAAAAGTGCTTTCAGGTAGCAATCCTGGTTCTCTCTGCTGTCTGGGGAGCCCATCACTATGCACTGGTAGGTCTGTCTGTGTGCTCTTGTGCACCATGGATGGCTTTAGCCTTACTGAGATCTTTTGAGCTGAAACCCCCATAAGCATAATAGTTCTGTCTTTGCTCCCTTCATTGTGCTCAACCATGTCTCCGTTAGGAAATGGAAATGCTCCTTCTTCTAGCCCTAAAAGAGGAGAGAGAAAACATAAAACATGAAGTTGAACATGAAATGAGAATAGTTCAGTGGTTGAAGTGAATTGTGTCTTCTTTTGGAATGGTAAGCTCAAAACAACAACCTTTATCCCAAAACATTTCACCTTTCCCCGGACTCCTATTTCTATTCATTGATCATACTTTATTCTTTACGAAAAAATGATGAAACAAAGGAAAGATATACTTGTAGGATATATTAGTAGTACAACTCAGGATTGTTGAAGAATCTCTAAGCATTTATTTAAAATATGCATATCCCACTCTTTCAGCTTTCAAATGAGTACATTGTAATATTATAAAATTGTAAGAGAAAATAGAACAAACATCACTTTAAAAATGAAGTGTTCTGAATGCTCTTGAAAATGATCAACCAAATATAATACGATAGTGATCAACCCGTTATATCATAAATCGGAGGCATATCATAACTCTATAAACAAAATGTCAAGGAAATTCAAACTGCAAAATTGGGGGAAAGATGTATCAGAAATCCTGAGTAGCTGCTGCTATTCAGTCCAAGCATTACTGAGCTAGCTAGGCCACTGGTCTCTTATTAATTCAGTCATGAGTATAGCTTAGTAAAAAATGACAAGGGTCAATAGGATACTACAGGTAGGACTTAAATCCAACAGGTACTCCATCTAGAATACAACCTTGAATTAGTTAGTGAATGGTGAGATAACACATAAATAACACTGATTTAATATATCTATTCAAAATGGAACTATCAATTGGACTCAGAACAACATCTCTAATATTTATAATTTAATCTAAAATATGTCATTCAGCATCCACTGTCAAACTGCTCTGTTAGGAAGTTTTTCGTGAAATTCAGCCTGGGATGATCAAGAACAGATCCTGCCCCTCCTCTGTATGAATACCTTTCAAGTATTTGAAAAGTGCTCTATCTCCCCGCAGTCTTCTTTTCTCAAGGATATACATGTCCAGTTCTTTCAGTCTTTCCTCATGATCACTCCTCTGATTATCCCTGTTGCCCTCCTCTGAACTTGTTCCAGTTTGTCAGCATCCTTCTTAAAGTGTGGTGTCCAGAACTGGACATGATACTCTGGATGAGGCCTACCCAGTGATGAATAGAGGGGGACCAGTATAGCATTTGGAGACTATATTTCTGTTAAGATGTCCAAAAATCGCATTTGCCTTTTTTGCACTCAGATTGCACTCATGGCTCATATTCAGCTGGTGATGTACAACAACTCCAAAATTCTTCTCACTCACAGTATTACTGAGCCAAATATCACCCACTTTCACATTCAGTTGTTAAACAACTGAATGTGTAAAAGAGGTCATTCATTCATACAGCAACTAATGGTGATATAGGAGTGGAGATAAAAAAGGGATCTATAGTGACAATAACGTAGCAAAGTTTTAATTCAACAGAACCGTACTTACCATGCATATGTTCTTTGAGTCCCACAGGGCACAGGCTAGATGCAAGAGCTGATGCAGGACTATTATCCACAGCTGTGGCTTTGGGTCTTCTCTTACATTCAAATACAACCAGATCCTTGCATTGCTTGTGACAGTTCATTCCACAATCTGCAAATAAATAACAAGGGCAGCCCATTGGTCTGATGGCAAAAACCAAGAAGCCTTCTTGCACAGCAAGAGCTCTTCCATACCTGCATTCTGCAGAAGACCCACAAAACTGTAAAATATAAGAAAATTAGCACGGTTTATTCAGAATCATTTCCCACTGTGTCCAGTATAATTTAGTTTTTCCAAAACTAGGGAAACGTCTGAGTAGGGTAAGATTACAACATTAGTTTTAAATGCACAGACTATTAGTGGAGCCAGGGACTAGGAGGGATTAAAGTAAATTAATTTTGAAGAATTAAAGTAAATTAATTTTAAAGTAAAAAATTAATTATTTTTACTTCAACTTTCTCCTTAAAATGACCCAAGGTGGCTTACAACAATTAAAATATTTAAAAGCTAAAACAGGCAGTATACACAGTGACGCCTCGCTTAACAATGTTAATTGGTTCAAAAAAACCCATCGCTATGGGAAAACATCGTTAAGCAAAACGTGTTTTCCCATAGAGATGCATTGAAAACCGGTTAATCCGTTCCAATAGACACAGATTGCCATCCTTAAGTGAAAAAACCCATAGGAAACATCGTTAAGCGATACAATGTTTCCTCCATTGGAATGCATTGAAGCCTATTCAATGCATTTCAATGGTTTTGCGATGTCCATTTTTGCAAATGTAAGTGTGTCTTAAAAGGTTCAAAAACTGTTTTAAATGCTTGGAATCGTTAGTGCACCTTCTAAAACGGGTGCAAGTTTAATTTGGCTTTGAACTGATTTTTTCCCCCACCAACTCTTGACAGCTGTCAAAATCTGACAGCTCCATGCTTTCCTATGGGGGAGAAAAAAATTCACAAAAAAATAACGAAGACTCAGAACGAAGCCAAACTAAGTTTGCACAGGTTTTGCAAGGTGTTCTAACGAATCCAAGCATTTAAAACAGTTTCTGAGTCTTCATTAAGTTATTGTGAATTTTTTCTCCCCCATAGGAAACAATGGAGCCCAACTTTTGACAGGTCCATTGTTTCCTATGGGGGAGAAAAAAATTCACAAAAAAATAACGAAGACTCAGAACGAAGCCAAACTAAGTTTGCACAGGTTTTGCAAGGTGTTCTAACGAATCCAAGCATTTAAAACAGTTTCTGAGTCTTCATTAAGTTATTGTGAATTTTTTCTCCCCCATAGGAAACAATGGAGCCCAACTTTTGACAGGTCCATTGTTTCCTATGGGGGAGAAAAAAATTCACAAAAAAATAACGAAGACTCAGAACGAAGCCAAACTAAGTTTGCACAGGTTTTGCAAGGTGTTCTAACGAATCCAAGCATTTAAAACAGTTTCTGAGTCTTCATTAAGTTATTGTGAATTTTTTCTCCCCCATAGGAAACAATGGAGCCCAACTTTTGACAGCTGTCGAAAGTTGTTTTCAATGCTTTCCTATGGGGAGAAAAAAATTCACCAAAAATTAACGAAAAGTCAGATCAAAGCCAAATTAAGTTTGCACCCGTTTTAGAAGGTGCACTAACGATTACAAGCATTTAAAACATATTTTGAACATTTTAAGACACGTTTAAAATTGAAAAACGGACATTGTTAAGAGAGGACCTAAAAATGCATTCGCTATGTGAAGCATGGTCCCGAAATCGCTAAGCGAAAATCGCCCATAGGAAACATCGTTAAATGATGCATAGAATTCTTTTAAAAAAACATCGTTAAGCAAAAACATCGCTTAACGAGGCAATCGTTAAGCGAGGCACCACTGTATTTTAAAAGAATTAAACTATTATACTAAAACGTTCCATGAATACTAAAAACACATTTAAAAATAACAGAGCACAACAATCCATTTTTCAAAAAAAAAATCCTCTCAGACTTCCAGTCACTAAGGAAAAGTCTGACTGAAGACAAAGGTCTTTATCTGCTTCTGGAAAGACAGCAAAGATGAGGCCAGCCTAACTTCCTATGGAGGGAGTTGCAGAGCCTGGGAGCAGCAACAGAAAAGGCCCTTTCCCATGTCCCCACCAAGCACACCTGTAAAGGTGGTCGGACCAAAATAAAAAACTCCCCTGATTATCTTAATTCCATGACAGGCTCATAGAGGGAGATGCACCCACTCCCATGGTTTCCCTGGTCTTCTCTGAACATGCCTGCATTCTAATAGAACTTGAATGAGAAACTGATTTTTCCTGCAACAAAACAAAAAAAAAAATAAGTGTCCCTCTTGACATGCAAAGTATTTCAGGGTGGTTGTTGTGGGTTTTTCGGGCTCTTTGGCTGTGTTCTGAAGGTTGTTCTTCCTAAAGTTTTGCCAGTCTCTGTTGCCGGCATCTTCAGAGGACAGCACTCTGTGCTCTGGTGTAGTTGGCTTGGGAGTGGAGCCAGAGCACAGACTGCTGTCCTCTGAAGATGCCGCCACAGAGACTGGCAAAACCTTAGGAAGAACAATCTTTAGAACACAGCCAAAGAGCCCGAAAAACCCAGAACACCCATTAGATCCCGGCCGTGAAAGCCTTCATGAATACATATTTCAGGATGGTTTGGCTTTAAATGGGCAATTAAGAGCCATTAGTTTTACAAAAGTCTTGCTTCTGATAGAGACAAAAAACTGCTAACATTTGTTTGTTGATACTGATCAGTATAACTGTCTGCTATTTTGAATTCTCTTTGTGAGGGCATAGCAGATCTTGATGAATATCTGTACTTTCAAATTAAGCACTACATCACTATTCTGTTACTCTGTATGACTTGTACCAGGGCCTAGGAAAACAGCTCCAAAAGGAGTGAGCTAAGTGTATGTTCTTTAAAGGAACCACAATATATTTCCTGACACTGAATGGCGTCATGACTACCGTAAGCAACTTTTCGAACAGAACCACATAACTGCTGTTCTTTGCACACTACTTTAAAGATTATTTATCAAAGGAATTAAAATTTTGTTACCTTTGCATCTATATCCTTGTTTAATAACTCCCCAAAGCTGAAAGTTTAAACAAAGTTATATTATTATGCTGCACTGAACTTAATATTGAATACTCTCATTCCTTTCCTCAGTTCCAATTCTGTACACCATTCCCGCACATTTATCCAACCCAAGTACACACCCACCTGTACATTCTGAGGCCTGTAGCCCTTCTTTTGTCAACAACAGGGCTTTCACCTATTAAGACAACACTGAGACTCCAGATAAGAGACCCAGCTAAGGAAAATAAGACTTAGGATCACCCACAATTTTATTTTAAAAACATAAGACCTAGCAAGATAGAGGTCATGATCAAAAGAATCTAGTCTCCTCAAGATGCTTATTGATCTCACTGAATCACCAGTTAATTCCTACAGATTTCCAAGAACTGGAGATGGTGTTAAACTAACCCAATTTTCTCCAAAGCAACGTTCCTGTTTCTATCTGTGAACTGCCCTAACATTTGTCCAACTTTTCACAGAAAAATCAACTTTAACAACACCAAAAAGGTGTATGCTTCCTTCATTCCTAGCAGAGATCAAGGATAACTGGCTCCCAGCCCTCAAACCACATCTGGTCTGCGGGCTTCACACCGATTTCTTCTGAGTTTGACTATTGGGGTGAGAAGAAAGAGAAGTGATAACCAACATTCAGAAATGTTTCTTTCTCAGACAACTGAAAATTCAGAAGGGGGTTCTGGGAATTGTAGTCCTTTAAAAGTACGGTAATGTTTCTGATTGCTGGTGATGATAACACACATGTCCATACCTTAAGTAAACAGACTTAGCCACCTCCATCTTCTCAAGTTAAAGAAGTTGGCACGGCTGCTACAGATTTTCCCCTAAAGCTTTTGGTCCCAGAGTTTACCCACAAATGTAGAGTCTGCCTCCAAATGCATCAGCAATCCTTAGGCCACACGTGATGGCAATAAGATTTTATATCACATCTTCCAAGCTACAGTGTGGTTCCAGAGTAAATTCCAAGAGTCCTCGATGAAGCCGTGTTACTGAAGCAAAGCAGGTACCAGCAGGTCCTTAATGGGGGCTTTGTTTCTTTTTTTCCATTATGCTGTGGTTCCAAACTTTGGGTGCCTGGATGTTCTTGGAATAAAACTCCCAGAAGTCTCCACCACTAGCTGGGCTGGCCAGGATTTTCTGGGAGTTGTAATCCATAAACATTTGGGGAGCCAAGGCTGGGAACCACTGCCATATTGGAAGGAAGGTAAAACACTACTAAAATATAAAAACTAAAACAAATGTTTCTGCAACATGGTGTGTACTTCAAAAGTCACTGGGAATGGGCTACAAGCAAAAATCTTCCCTTTTTTCAGAGGATTGCACAGGGCAGCCATATTGATGATAAGCAGAATGAGGTGCATAAACATCACCTTGTGTCTTGCATCCATTATGCATTGTGTGGCCAGAGATAAGCTGAAAGAAACTTTGCCAACTTATCCCGGAATAACCACGCGAGACCAGGTATATGGGTTAAACATGGGCCACACTTTATTAATATTCATTCGTATTCCATGAACATGCTAATCCTCTGAGGAAAAAGGGGGGTCCTGCTGTAGTGCGGATTCAAATTCTCAAATTCTCCCCCTGTGTGACCAAATGCTACCACCTTCGTTAGGCCAACGCTCCTAGTCCAGTGTGGGATAGGCGAAAAACCCCCGCCTCCATTGGCCAATTGGGTGGCGGGCATCCATTATGCATTGTGTGGCCAGAGATACTGTAAGCTGAAAGCAACTTTCTGAACTGATTGGGATACAACATGGGAGGAAAGTTACAGAAACCTTGTCCCTGCCTTGGTCATGTGTTTGTAGGAAGATACAAAACAAATGGTTGTTGTGGGTTTTTCAGGCTCTTTGGCCGTGTTCTGAAGGTTGTTCTTCCTAACGTTTCACCAGTCTCTGTGGCCCGCATCTTCAAAGGATAGCACTCCATGCTCTGGTGTAGTTGGCTTAGGAGTGGAGCATTTATGGCTGTGAGATAGGCTTTTGCCCTTTTCTGGAGATGGGTGATTAGTGTGTCGTTGTGGGTGTATTGTTGTGATAAAGAGGAGAGATTATCTGTCACTGTGCTGGATGGGTGTCATTAGCTGGTCTTTTGTGTGTAGTGATCCCCGGCCCTTGTGGCTGGGTAGAGTTCATTGACCTTTTGCACACTGTATTTTTGAGAGCTGAGAGCCAAGTTTTGTTGAGTTTCAAACTTTTTTGTAGAAGTTCTGCTGGTGCTTGTGGATTTCAATGTTTTCCCTGTGCAGTCTGACATAGTGATTGCTAGTGTTGTCCAGTATTTTAGTATTTTGAAATAGAATTTCATGTCCAGCATGTTTTAGGGCAAGTTCAGCTACTGCAGATTTTTCTGGTTGTTTTAGTCTGCAGTGTCTCTCATGTTCTTTGATTCTGGTGTGGATGCTTCGTTTTGTGATTCCAATATGTATCTGGCCACAACTGCAAGATATCTGGTATGCTCCTGCAGTGGTGAGGGGGTCCCTTCTGTCCTTTGCTGACCGTAACATTTGTTGTATTTTTGTGGTGGGCTTGAATACTGCTCGTAGGTTGTGTTTTTTCAAAAGTTTGCCCTTGCAGTCCGTGACCCCTTTGATGCATGGCAGAAATACTTTATTTGTGGGTGGCTGTTTTTCTTCTTCAGTTTGGTGTTGTTTTCTTCATTTGAAGGCTCTTGTGATTTCATTTTTGGAGTAGCCATTTGCCTGTAGGGCCTAATTCAAATGGTTGATTTCAGTGCTGAGAAACTGAGCTTCACAGTTCCGATTTGCACAGTCTACCAGTGTTTTTATTATGCCTCTTTTTAAATACTCCACTCCCAAGCGAACTACACTAGAGCACAGAGTGCTGTCCTCTGAAGATGCCAGCCACAGAGACTGGCGAAATGTTAGGAAGAACAACCTTCAGAACACGGCCAAAGAGCCTGAAAAACCCACAACAACCATTAGATCCTGGCCGTGAAAGCCTTCACGAATACATACAAAAAAGTTTGCCACATTTCCATCTGACATATCCATGCATCAGGCTGCCTCATAATATTCCCACTGTGCAGACATTCTGCCTCTTTAATGAAAGTTTCCAAGAGGTTTAGAAGATAATTGCTAGTACCAAACAGAGCAGACACAGTGACTCAACAGGACTCAATGTAAGTGCTAACCTGCCATTCTGCAGTTGATTCAGTGCATCTACTCTTCATTGGGAATAGCAACTGGATACTGGCCAGAACCTTGTTTGTGGCAGAGTTTGAAAACATTACATTCCTGGACTACAATTCCCATCGCTCCCCAGACAGCACAACAAAGGGGCATGCTGGCTGATGATATTTACTGCAAGTTGCAGTTTGAAAATAGTAACAGTAACTCTTCCATAAACAGTTTTTTTCCGGGCTCTTTATCTGTGTTGTATGTTTTCACTTAGTTTCTTCTGTCTTATCAGAAGAAATCCTTTAAGGGAGATAAAATGAAACATAAGCACTGCCAGCGCCTTGCACTTGTATATAGCAGGAACCCTCTATCTGGAAGCACTGCAGGTCAGACTATTGTTGGACCTATTGTTTGATCAGGATTAGCTCCACAGGATCATACCTCGGAGCACTTTCCTGCATCTGGAACTTGCGCTGAGGATCCCTGGGGGGAAAAAACCTGGAATACTATTCAGGTAAAGCATGTGGCCTACAACTACATTACACCCTCCATTATGATCCTTAAGAACAAGTATACTATTAGAAACCCAACATCAGCCACAATAGCAGCAAACTAGAGTTGATACTGGAATACGATATTTGCTGGTCACAGTCTTTTATGCACATCCTGTAGCATGATTTACTTTTAAAATCCACCTCACCCACCCCCATGCACCCAGGCTTACAAATCCAGCACAGTTGTCACAGAATGTTGGCTTTAGATAAGTGGTTTCCTGGAAGTTGTGAGCGAACCCAATGCCCAGTTTAGAATAAATTGAGCTGGCCCTCATGAAGTATGCTGTTATTTCATCCCTGCTAATCAGACCTTCCCTGCAAATAAACAAGAAAGAGGGTCAACTGAGGCTTAACACATTGCTTAGCAGTACAAGGAGTTAACAGCATCTCCGCCTCTGTTCCTCTCTCCACCTACACATCCACCAACCCGGCAAAGTGAATGTTCCAATTCATTTTCACAGCAAAGTATATCTAGAAACACAATTTGCACACCCATACCCCGCATGATCCTGTCAAGCAGATCACGAGTTCTGCAGCAGCCCATTTAAAATTCAGTAAAAACAGCTTAAAGAGCAGCCTGTACAATTGACTCCGAACATGCTGCACAATTATCGAAACAAAGGAGAAGCCCAGGGAATAATTCCTAACGCCATACCTTTAAATTGCTCTTTACAATTTCTAATGCCATTTTGGACAATGAACAGGCTGGAAGGAGGAGGGAAAATGCACAACAGGGATCCCTTACACATGAAAGATTTCATGCTCTTTTGTTCTTCTAATGTAAGTCCTTTGACAGCAAGCGAGAAAAGCAAGCCCCTTATGGCTGTTCTCCAAGGTGCAGTCAACCAAGCAGACCCATTTGGTGAGGAACTCAACAAGTGGTCTTGAGTTCCCTTCCTCCTAATAGCAGCCCTTGCCAGTCTTACTTAGAGCACAGGCTCCAGGCCACCAAATGTTCATGACATGTGGGCTGAACAGGAGGAGGAAATGGGATATGTATACCCTTTCACATACGCTGAAATGTACAAGCATAGAAATTTATTTCCTTTCCTCTTTGAATGGAAGCCGACATGCAAGTCACTGGCAAAGAGGGCTGTATATACTAGGAGTGAAATCATTTCTACAAATGTGGATCCTTACATAAAACAAAACAGCACTATTCACACACAGGAGGGGGAGGTACCAAGTGGCTCTCATGAAAGCCCAAGACTTGAAGATATTTAAAAATGGGGGGGGGGAGGGAAATGTGAAAAGAGGATTTGTGTCAAAAGGCACCTTAAGTGAGGACTGAGTGCAGTCAGTGGGCATCTGACTATCAGAAAGGCTATCCTAGGAAAGAACATCTGTTTCATTTGGTGGAATTTCCACTACTGCTTGTAGTCTAAGGAGCTTTGTGCCCACACTTTAACTGCAAAACATGGGAAGGAAAGGATATCCTAAAACGGAATTGTAGCTTAAAGCGACCCATCTGGAGGAGAAGTCCCAAGCTGTTTTCTAGATCTCTCATATTATAGATATTCCATTTGGAAGCCTGGGGACGGCATGGAGGGCTGGTACGAGAATCATAGGGTAACACCTCCCCGACCATCCGGCTGACAATATAAAGCATGTTTTTGGTCTACATGCACAGTGATGTCCCAGTAGAGCAGGAAAAAGTCAGAATATGATAAGGATGTAGAGATCTTCTCCGAACTATGAGACGTTACCCCTATTAGAGTATTAGAGTTAGCAAAGAAAACTGAAGGTGACTTGTCCCTCTCTGTCTGTGAACTCACACAACTTGTACTTCCCATTCATTACTACACAGTGCCAGGTATTCTAGGATCTGCAGTTTCAAAGAAAACCTACTAAGCAAGTGCATAAGAGAGACTTGGATGTACACACCTGTCTTTGTCCATTATGCAAAATGAAAAAGGAAAGCTTGCAGCGATTTTCTCAAATTCTTCCTGACAAATGTATCCATCCTGATCATGGTCATAATTTTTGAAAACTGACTGCATGAAATAACAAGAAACAAGTCAAGTATCACTTTGGATTTTTTTAAATGCCATGGTATACATTAACATTAAAATAGTCCATTCTATTATATTTAGTAATGATTTTAACTTCAAAGTCAAATACTTAGGCTAAATCTAATTGTTTGTCCCAACCATTGCATGAATGAATGGGAATGGTCAACATTTATCCAAGTTCCATGCAGTGTTTGAGAATAGCAACCAAATATGCCTTCCTTAAAAAGTAATGGTATTACACATAATGCCAAACAAAAAACAAAACTGACATTGTTGTTGTTGTTTAGTTGTTAAGTCATGTCCAACTCTTTGTGACCCCAAGGACCAGAGCACGACAAGCCCTCCTGTCTTCCATTGCCTCCTGGAGTTTCACCAAATTCATGTTGGTAGCTTTGATGACACTGTTCAACTATCTCATCCTCTGAAGTCCCCTTCTCCTCTTGCCATCACACTTTCCCATCATCAAGGTCTTTTCCAGGGAGTCTTGTCTTCCCATCAGATGGACAAAGTCTCAGCTTCAGGATCTGTTCTTCCAGTGAGCACTCAGGGTTGATTTCCTTCAAAATGGATAGGTTTGTTCTCCTTGCAGTCCAGGGGACTCTCAAGAGTCTCCTCCAGCACCACAATTCAAAAGCATCAATTATTCAGCAGTCAGCTTTCTTTATGGTCCAGCTCTCACTTCCATAAATCACTAATGGAAAAAACATAACTTTGACTATGGTGATGTCTCTGCTTTTTAAGATGTTGTCTAGGTTTGTCAACGCTTTCCTCCCAAGAAGCAGGCATCTTTTGATTTCGTATCTGTTGTCTCCATCTGCAGTGATCATGGAGCCCAAGAAGATAAAATCTGTCACTGCCTCTTTTCCTTCTATTTGCTAGGAAGTGATGGGACCACTAGACATGATCTTAGTTTTTTTTTGATGTTGAGCTTCAGACCATTTTTTGCGCTCTCCTCTTTCACCTTCATTACGAGGTTCTTTAATTCCTCTTCACTTTCTGCCATCAGAAAACTTTCTGCCATATCATCTGCATATCTGAGGTTATTGATATTTCTTCCAGCAATCTTAATTCCGGTTTGGGATTCCTCCAGTCCAGCCTTCGCATGACGTATTCTGCATCTAAGTTAAATAAGCAGGGAGATAATATACAGCCTTTCCCAATTTTGAACCAATCAATGTTTCCATATCCAGTTCTAACTGTTGCTTTCTGTCCCATGTATAGGTTTCTCAGGAGGAAGATAAGGTGACCAGGCACTCTTATTTCTTTAAGAACTTGCCATAGTTTGCTGTGGTCTACACAGTCAAAGGCTTTTGTGTACTCAATGAAGTAGAAGCAGATCCTTTTCTGGAACTCTCTGGCATTCTCCATAATCCAGCACATGTTAGCATGGGACATGCGTGGTTAACACCCAGCATGTCCCACTCACACACCTAGCCCAGACCACATGATACATTATGATCAAAAACCCGACAGTATGTTTCTTTTTTCTAACTGTTCAGAATACTAGCACTCAAAATGTAAATTTTGATTATCACATGGTAAACTTCCCTGGTTTCATTCCACACCACTGGGAGGTACTAGAAGAAGACCTCACTGGATGAAGGTCCCACTTCTTGTGGTTGAAACTAAGGAACATTCCTGGGATAATAGAAATCTTGTAAGGACAACATTAGCTCCTGTAGAGAAGGCACAGTGAACTCAAGAACAAGTCAGGCTAGGAACAAAACAAACAAAATAGGTATGGTAAATAGCAAGGCATACTTACATCTACCATTCTCTGAACATGCTTACTGATTATCTTTGGGTCAGGCTTTGGGGCCACACCAGAGGCCCAGTCTGCTACTACTACTGGAGGTTTACTAGGTGTCAAAGGCTAAAATAAGAATAAGAATATATCCTTTAAGACATGATTACTGTAGGAGCGAGATTGATGACACTTATCTACCATTATAGTGACTAAAATCCAGTTATCTTAGAATATCCTTATAAAATTGTTGAGCACTGCACATGTACTGTACTGTAAATGTATTATCAGCTAGAGAACCCCAGCTATGCTTGTATGGCAAATTTGTGTATTTGCAATTTTGTCATTCAAAATCTTTAAGTGGCACTGGACCAGCATTAGTATTCAGCTCATTCAAGAGCAGAATCAAGCATAATTTGGGGAGATGGCATCTAACTGCAGCCACTCCATCACCCAAAAACATGCTGCAGAGGACTAGGAAACTTTCTGGAGTGTGTTGCAGGGGAAAGTAACAGAAAACTCAAAAAATACTATAAGCCTTAAATTGGATTTAGGCTAAGGAACTGTAGCTTCATTATTAAACCTATAGCAGCCAATGGTAGAGAGGTGCTTGCCAACTGGAGTTCATTCTAGGCCTCCAGTACCTTTGTCTGACATGATGTGGGAATAGAACAGAACCACAAGTCCATCAGTTACCTATGAATGTCTACAACTGTGCTAGTACACTGGCTTCCACATTAGGTTATTAAAGCATTTTGGTTTTCTAGCTACTGCTTAGGAGTACTGCAATGGCTTCATGTCATCTTGGGTTGTTTGGCCAAAAACAGATATAATTGAATGTGAATGCACACTGAAGTTCCTTCTCTCCATGTTTTGAGAAATCAAACTTCAGACGGCAAACCAACAAACTGAACAAGGGAATTCGCATAATCTCTTTTTTCCAGGTAAGAGAATCTTATGCTGTGTGGTGCCCAGATATTCACATTAGTGAAGGATTTCCCTCTTTCATTCACAAGCTATCTCTAATATCTGCTTTTGACTCAAGTTTGATGTCTCTGAATAACAACACTGCTATAACAACAAAATTGTATTCATTGGTATTTATAACTGGAATAGGTTAAACTGTACTGGATGGGTGCATTGTTGATCTTCTACACTTTGAAATATTGTTTTTTGTTACAGCTGAAATATTTATACATAACACTGTTTTTGACTAAATATTATTGCTATGCTTGAAGTGGCTTACAATGCCTAAAAATACATTTTTCTTTGGAATTCATTCTCTGGAGCATAAACTCAACTCAACTCAACTCAACTCAGGGATGGGGACTCAAATCACTGGGCTTGCTATCAAGTCGGACTTAAGTCCCACTGGTGACTTGACTCATACTCCACTAGGTTTTTTTCCCCCCCACCAATGACTCAAACTCCACTTGCAACTCAGAACCCACCCACCCCTCTTTTTTTTCTGGGGAAAAAGCTTGTCTTTGATAGGGACTCATACTTGGGGTCTGGGATTTGGGACTTGGTACCAAAGACGCGGACTCAGACTTGAGATTCAGACCCAAAGACTTCCTAACATCCCTGACAAAATTAAACAATTTAATTAACCTAATTTAACCTAACAAAAATAGCACCCTAAGTACTGACAGCTTGTTTTGATGCATATAAGTTATAGGACAACGAGACACATACGACTTTGAAACTATTTGTTAGGATGCTTACTGCAGCCCGATGACTTCTCGGCTCTCGTGCATATGAAAGTTCATAAATCTCATCTTCTGTGTAGTAAAGGTCAAGTGACAACTAAAACCAAACACAAGCAATAGTTTACTTTCCAATGTCTGTCAAGAGTTTGTCTCCCCGCCCCCGCCCCCCAATCTGCAGCCTGCCTCAGCCCAGAAGCTGGTTTACAAAAGGCCAGGGTGATATTATGGTTAGTGAGGCACTGGCAGTTGGGAAGTCCTCAACAAACTACAAAACACATTGGTCACCCTGTGCCAAACATATCAGCTATCAGCCTCTCCTACTTCACAGGTTTGTTGGGACAATAAACTGAGGAGCAAGCAAGTTCACATTTGCTGCCTTAATTTCACTGAAAATTGTTGAAATACCTAAATAAGAGCAGCAGAATGTTAGGCTTGAGTGCCAGAATCAACATAAAAGGAACATACTTTCCCATGATCCATGATAATCCTAGTGCTCAAGGAAGAGATTGCAGTTCAACTGCTTGCAAAAGCGAGAATGGGGCCATCCCAAATCCAGGTGATCTGTTCCCTGATAGCTAGTCTGCCTACCAACTGCTTAGCATCACAAAGATCTTAACCCAAACTGCTCTGATATGATCAATATGTCAAGGGAAGAACCCCAAAACTGGACCCCTGTGGACAATGTAGACAATGGATGCAGGGAGTTCTTCCTAACGTAGGAACTAGCTAGATTCCCAGTAAAGCAGAGTCACATGTGGAAAACTGTTTCTGAACACTGAGAATACTCTTCTAATCAAATGAGGCACACTAGTAATAATCTGCTGAATGTAGTCGAATTACAAAATGCTATATTTGCACTTTGAGTATGTGTATGTGAAACATTTCTTTTAAGGTAAAGCAATCGTGCACAACTTTTTCATGTTCAGGACCTACCTTTGGCTTCAATTAGACAGATAGGTTCCACTTTTCTTTTTCAAAATGGCATGTTGTTGTTGTTGTTTAGTCGTTAAGTCATGTCCAACTCTTCGTGACCCCATGGACCAGAGCACGCCAGGCCATCCTGTCTTCCACTGCCTCCCGGAGTTGGGTCAAATTCATGTTGGTAGCTTCGGTGACACTATCCAGCCATCTCGTCCTCTATTGTCCCCTTCTCCTCTTGCCTTCACACTTTCCCAACATCAGCATCTTTTCCAGGGAGTCTTCTCTTCTCATGAGATGGCCAAAATATCGGAGCCTCAGCTTCAGGATCTGTCCTTCCAGTGAGCACTCAGGGTTGATTTCCTTCAAACTGGATAGGTTTGTTCTTACAGTGCAGGGGACTCAAGAGTCTCCTCCAGCACCACAATTCAAAAGCATCAATTCTTTGGCAGTCAGCCTTCTTTACGGTCCCTTCAGCTCCTTTTTTCCTTTTACTGTGAATGTCTCTCTTTCTTTTCGGCTGCATCATCTTCTCTTGCCTCTTCTTTTTTTCAAAAAGCAAACCACTAGCAGCAGCAGCTTAAATTAAGCAAGAAAATGGTTGAGACCTAAGAAAGGACCCAGTTCCAAGACTTAATCCACTGACTTGGGGTGAGAACACTTGATTTATCAGTCTCATTGGAGGCTCTTCCTTGCGATTTCCCCTCTTCCCTGTCCTCTTCCTTTAGGCAGTGTGCTGGCAGGTGATATTTTGTGTAGGTTTGAACTTCTCCAAGTCTTCTTCCCTCCCTCAAGCATGTTGTATAGCAAGGTATAGAGCACAGATGGTATAGCAAGGTATAGAGCACAGAAGTGCCCACCCAATCCAGGTCCATCAGCTATCACTAGTCTCCCCTGCTACTCTGCTGTTTTCTAGCAATCAACTGAGCAGCAAAGAAAGGGGAAAATTAGAGGAGAGAAAATTTAAATCTTACTTTTCCCACAATATCTTCCCCTCTTGTTGCTCAGCTGCTGAAGAGTTGGGTGTATGAAAGAGAGAGAAGTATATATGTAAGAAAAAGGCCAATTGTACCCATACAATTTTAATTCTGGACCTGCCTGTCACCAACACATAGTCACTGCACATTCTCCTCCACGGGAATAATGCTTCAACTTGACTTTTTCCATTAACTACAACTAAAATTATTAACCAGCGTCTATCACGGTTCAGATGACACAGGAAGCTGTAGTTAATCTAAAATGGGAGTACAATCTTCAAAACGTCTTGAAACTATGTTTATGGCAACATTGGCAACCGATATGTCCCAGCAGCCCTACAAGTTTTTAAATCTAAAATCATCCAAAAATTCTGTATGGCATCCCAATTTGGCAAAATGCCATGGATTGCTCAATTGAAAAGCTACAATTCCACAAGGTATTAGGCCTACCAAGGTGTGTTCCCTACTCGGTATTCTGTCTTGAGTGTGGACTATCCACACTGGAAATAATGGCATAGCTGAGAACTTTTCAATTCTGGCTAAAAATGTTTTATAACTCAGAACAAGACAGTTTATTATATCAACTCCTGCAAGATTCTGGCCCTCCTTTTGGGTCTATCGCCCTTTTTTAAAAACTGAAACTGACTGGCCTAGAAATTGGCTCTTTAGGTTCACTAAATCTAGAGCTAGCACTTCAAACAGTAAAGAGACAAATAATGGAATTGAGTTTCAGGAATTATGGAGCACAACTGATAAAGATTTGTTCCCCGTTGTCTCTCCACATCCCCTTTAAAATGGGACAACCAGCTGCTTTCCTCATGCTCCTTAAAGGTAAAGTTAAAGGTTCCCCTTGACAATTTTTGTCCAGTCGTGTTCGACTCTAGGGGGCGGTGCTCATCCCTGTTTCCAAGCCATAGAGCCAGCATTTTGTCTGAAGACAATCTTCTGTGGTCACATGGCCAGTGCGACTTCGACACGGAACGCTGTTACCTTCCCACCGAGGTGGTCCCTATTAATCTACTCGCATTTGCATGCTTTCGAACCGCTAGGTTGGTGGGAGCTGGGACAAGTGATGGGTACTCACTCTGTCACGTGGATTCGATCTTACGACTGCTGGTCTTCTGACCCTGCAACACAGTCTTCTGCGGTTTAGCCTACAGCGCCACCACATCCACAAAACCGCAGGGCCTTTTCTCTGGCCAGATGTAACATCATGCCTGGTGCTATATCGTATGGTAGGCATAACGGAACCCCTTATTCTGAAAGATTTTGTCCATGTGAGCAGGATGCTTTGGAAACCCTCACTCACATGCTTTTGCCCTGTCCAATTCATCAGGACTGCTGCAAAAAGTGCGTCACCTCAATATTATTAAAGCTGGAGGGAAAATCCGATCTCAACAAGATCTGTGGTGGTCGACATTATGGAATAAGTAGCTGTTTTTCTTGAGTCAAGGCGAAGCGCTGAACCTAACAAACTAGCTTCATTTTGTCTATTTATATTATATATGCAAAAAAGTTTATTATTACTATAACTATGTTTAAGGACTTGGAATCCAGGTACATATGAACCTAGGAAGAAATTAGGCTTATTCTGTTAGGGGGAAGACAAAAAAGCAACAACCCTAGAAAGTACCCAAATAAAGCCCATTTATGAAAGAGAGATGTCTCATGATTATGTAAATTTTGTGTATTATTACAGTGCCCTACATGGATGCACACTTTAACATGAAGTATGATAGGGAAGCTGAGAGTAATTCCATCAGAAGGCTAGATTCTATTATAGTCTAGGTTTCTAGTAGGGTCACTCCAGGTATAATGGTTAAAGCTGGGACAACGAACTGAGATACATCCACCCTCTTCAGGGTTAAGAGTCACATCAGCAGAGGAGAACAGATAGCTCCAAGGTGATTGGGGTGGAAAAACTCCTGGAGGGCAGCTACTGGCAGCAGTAGGACATTTTCAGTCAGACAGTTACAAAGTGCTTTTCTCTGGAAATGACAAACTCAGAAGAAGCTGAATTGTTTTAATGTGGCACAAACAGTTGGGACTATAATGCAAGGTCTGACAGAATAATAACAGTCAGACTTAATAACAGTGGAAAACCTATCAGCATAATCAGCATTTCAGTCATCGATAGATGCTGAAAACATTCAATGTACTTTTCACTCCCCAAGAAAGGAGACATCAAGGAGTGCAATAAGGATAGAACCATTGCTTTGATTTTGCAAGTAAGTTAAGTGATGCTCAAGGTGTTGCAACAAACAATTTCTCCTCATAGAGAGCAAGAAAGGCTACAGAAGAACTACACAACTTTAACACTGACAATGGAAAAACTGAAAAAGTGAAATATTTCGTATACGTTGGTTCAATTAGCAATCCAAATGGAGACTGCAAGCAAGAAATCAGAAGAAGACTGAGACTTGGAAGGGCAACAATTAAAAAATTAGAAATGTAAGGATGTGTCAGCTGATACCAAAGACAAGATCATCCACACTCTTGTATTCCTGATCACCATGTATGGGTGTGAAAGCTGTAAAGAAAACTGACAGGAAAAAACTTCATTCATTTGAAATATGGTGCTAAAGGAGAGAAAGATGCCAGAATGATGAATTAAGTGGATTCCAGTGCAAGTCAAACCTGAACTATCGCTGAAGGCAAAAAATAATGAAACTGAGGCTGTCCTATGTTGGACAAATCATGGGAAGGCAACATTCTCTGGAAAAGACAGTAATACTGGGAATAAGGCATCAGGAAAAGAGGAAGACCAAATACAAAATGGATTGATTCCATAAAGCAGTGGTTCCCAACCTTGGCTCTCTGGATATTATTGGACTGCAACTCCCAGACACCTTCACCACTAGCTGTGCTAGCACAGGCTTCTGGGAACTGCAGTCCAAGAACGTCTGGTGGCCCAAGGTTGGGGGCCACTGCAAGGATGCTATAGGCTTGAGTTTACATGAACTGAGCAGGGCTGTTGAGGTCATTTTGGAGATCACTCATTTATCAGATCCCATAAACAGCAGGTAACTTGATGGCACATAACAACAGAGATGTCTACAATTGTCATGCATTTTCATGGATATACACAAGTTTCCATTAAGCCCTAAATGGATCCAAATCTTTCATTTGAAGACCCATTCTATTTCCTCTTTCAACACAACCTTGCACTTGTAATCTTAGCTCTACCACAAAGTGATGATGTTCTACAAGGTGAGCCAATAAAGGGGCATCTTCTGTCACCTTAGGTTGCAAAGGATTTCCCCAACCATTTTGGGGGACCCTCATTTTTGAAGTTTCCTGAAGAAGGTCTTAAAATATTAACAGGCCAAAACATGTTAAGGGACTTTATAATAAATATCATTCTATAGCATCTGGAGATGTCACAGTTTCAGGCTCTTGTTCTCATAGTGTTCCTTCCGAACCAGCCTAATATTATTTTAATAATAAAATGTTGACTTTAACATTTTTAACATTGCTTTAATTTTTAAAGTTGTTTTACACAAAGCAAAGTATTAGATTTTTTAAAAATACAGAACAGCACTACTGACAAAATCCTATTTCTGATATCAAGCCTTGCAGAAGTAATGTATGTGTTTAAGGTGACATTCACAGGAAGAAGTTAGTTTTCACTTAAGGTGGTTTTACACTAACACTGTGTGAAAGATCACAGATCTGTTAATTTCTGATGCATCAAGTTATTGGGCTAAAATATAATAGGAAACAAATGTCTGCAACAGAAAATAACATGTGAGAGCAGTGGGATGAAGATAGGGAATTGTTAGTTTTAGCACCAGTTCATATCTTAGCACTGCAACACGGACACTGCTAAAAAGTACTTCTGCCGGTGTAAAGCTCAATGCAATATGCTGTACTAGCCTCCAACACTGGTCAGTTGCACTTTATGGTAATAATCACTACAGTCACTGTTCAGTCCCCCAATTCCAATATATGCAATACTGGGACGCTATATACCAATCCATGAAGGCAATTCTGTTATCTATAAATCATAACAGCTAAATCCTTGAAATGCGGATGTGGTTTTAGCAAGAAGTTGAACACTTCCTCAGGGTCCGCTTAATACTTCAGTAGCTGACTCAGGTAGCATCTTCTAGGATATGGCAACAAAATGTTTGCAGCAAAAGCTGTATGCCAAGTACCTTGTCTTTTGCACCCTAAGCTAGCCTGCTGCCATCAGGTACAATGGTATAATCCTTAACCACCAACAACATTGGATAAGGATTCAACTCCCAGTCCACTTAGATTTCACACATGAAATGATAGGGGCAGCATTTTGTTCTTCAGCTCAGGTAGCCAATGCTTTCAGCCGAACTTGAACTTCATGAACCTGACTGAGTCAGCTGTAGTGCACAAAACTTATAGTGTAACGATCTTTATTCCTGTTTCACCTTCTCAAAGAGCCTTGGTTCTTTTAAAAATCAGCATGTTAACACCTGAGTGAGCCATAAAGAAGTGCCACAGACAACTAGCCTTGTGCTGACCCATAAACTCTACGAAGTTGTCCTGATCCTATTCTGAAAAGCAAATAAACACATACTATGCTGTTCTTTTAAAATCAGAAAGTTTAGTTGTTTATTGACCTGCCATTGCAGTGATGATCAAAGGCCAACAGAGACTCCCACGACTGTCTTAAATTACTCAAGTTTAACTATCAAATTTTCCTAATACGTGAGTAATCCCATTGAATAAGCACATTAAAGTAAAACAAAATCTATAAATACAGAGGCTTACTGTGAGGAGATGAACAAGATCCTTGTTAGCTTCCAGTGGGGGACCTATTTCTTGCAACTGTACCAGTTCATTAACATGATTATACAGAGAATGTAATTTATGTATATTAATTTTTTTGTCTTCCAAGTAGTCTGGCATAGCTTCATAAAGGGAGATCAAATCTTTCAGATGCACTCCAAGGATTGGGATCTTAAAGTTACAGCACTCATTGTAAGCACGCCGATAATTATCATAGTTCCTACAGGATGACAACAATTCAGTCATTTCATTAAATACCTGAAAAGAAAACAGAGGCAAAACTATTTAATTCAGTATATTCATCATGATGGCCATTTAAAAAGACAATCATGCATACTCCTAGTCAAAATAACTGTAAACATGCCAGCTACATCTAGCCTCTAAGACAAAATCATCACATTGTGTGAATCCACCTGTTTGAATGTGCCCTGGTCTATCTCTTTGCCTCTCCTTATCAGACACAACTAGACAGAGAAGCTTCTGCTTCCATTTTAGATTAATCATAGTTTTACATGTCATTTTAATGCTAAACTGTGAATAACTTCAACTGTGAAATAATTTACAAACTATGGTTGTAAATTAGACCATTTCAACAAATGGTCCAATTAAGATTAAGCACAGTTCTTCAGGTTTGAACAAACTGCAATTAATCTAAAAAAAGAAGGTAAAAGCTTGCAGAACTTCTCTTCATGATTCAAGTGACAAAGGACAGAAGAAGATTTTATGCTCAAGGCTCACTGTGCCATGTTCCTGAACCTTAAACCATGGGTTAATGTCCAATGCAAATGAAGGCTACTGACTGGCCCCCAGACAAACTCTTTTTAAAAAAAGACAAGTGTTATCTGCAGTGGCAAAACCACAATGATTTCTTTGAAATAAACAAATAAAATTTTATTTACAATATGATGATATCAGCAATAAATAGAATCCGTAGCTAAAGCACGCTTGACAAATGACCATCTGTTTGAAAACCTCCAATGAAGAAGAGTCACCCACCCTCTGACGCAGTACATTCCACTGCTGAACAGCATTCACTGCCAGGACATCCTTATGTTTAGAGGAAATATCCTTTCTTGCAATTTGAATCCATTATTTTGGGTCTTACCCTCTGGGGCTACAGAAATAAAGCTGACTTCATCTTCCATGTGACAGCCCTTCAAATATTTGAAGATGGCTATCATATCATATAATGACATCATATTTCAGTCTTCTCTTCTGTAGGCTAAACGTACCCAGCTCCCCTATCTATTCCTGTCCTATCCAGCACTGGACATAGTATTCCAGGTGAGGTCAGACCAAAGCAGAATAGAGATACACTATTACTTCCTTGCTCTGGATACAATACTTCTCCTGATGTAACCCAACACTGCCTTTAATTTAAGTGGATATATTTTTATAATTGGTCATTGTGAGGACAATATAAATTGGAATCCCATTACTCTTTGCCACATGTGCAATGGCTCCATTGTGCACACACTTCTCAAAATACACCAAATCCACAAGGCAGTATTCACTGTTTTGTTGTTTCCAAAAGAGTAGCCCTTGTGCATCTTGTGTATCTAACAGCTGTAAATCACTTGAAAATGGGGGAGGGCTACACTCTGCCATTACAAACAAGGTTTTAGCCATTGCCTATCAACAAACTTAATTTTATTATAGTGATTTGGTTAAACAATTATTAGCCATTCAACACAGGTAGAGTATATAAATATTGTAAAACAAAATACAGAAGTGCAACTAACCTTATGAATGTCATGAGGAACGTGAGAACTTGTTTCTTTAAGTCTAGAAATGGAACTGTGACAGAGGCCTCCTATTACAGCCATTAATGTGTTAAAATTCTGCAACTGGTGAAGTTTCTGTGCTCAAAAAGAAAAAAATAGCAGCCATTATTCAACCTGATTGGGGCCAATCTGGACCAATAGCACTAAATGTTACTAGAACCAGGTGATAAAATTTCCATTTAAAACATATTTTTCATTACAACTTAAAAAAAAAAACAACCATTTCATTCTACACCTGTACCCATATCTTGATTCTCTTTTCCATTTTTCCAAATAGTGTCTGTTTTTAAGTTCAGCATCTTCCAGCACAGATCCCTTTTTCCTTCTAGCAAATATGCTAGATCTTTCTCACAGAGTAAAAGAACTGGGCAATCAGTATCTGGCCACAGGCCCTGTGTCAACATGCCCTGGAAAAGTTCATCAAAGCTGATATTCACACTAATTGGCCACCACATTTTCTGTTTATTTCTTACATTTATACCCCACTTTTAAACTAAAGGATAGTGCTTAAGATGGCTTAAAGTCTTTTTAAAAGAATAAAAACATATAAGACCACATTTAGCTAAAAAATTAATAAAATGATATAAACCTGTCACACTCTAAATGCATTGCCTGTGGTATCTGCTCTAGAGGTAGTGCAGCTGCCAAGCCGATGGGATCCCCTAGCAACAGTCAGTAGAAGTTTGTGTCTGACTGGTGCCAAGCAACCACTAATATTGTCTTTCCCAGTAGGAAATGCTCAACATCCCTGCTGTCCTAGGTATGCCTGTCCAAGGGAAGGTGATTGCTAGTGTACTGTAGTACTGTCAAATGGCAGTAAGCACAGGCAGCAATGTTGGTGAGGATAACAATGCGGAGACTAAATACATGTGGAAAAAGGATGCCCCATACAGTATCAAGGTTGAATAAATCAAACTCAAAATAATTTAAAACTGAGCTGACCTGGGCCACATGAATAAATTTGATGAATACTTCAGCTCGAAGTTGTGGTGTTGGTCTATTGAGTACCATTAGTTGCACCCACTGGGAAATGCCGTTGCAAAGAGCAATTGAGCGTTCCATGGTTGGATTGTCTTTCACACAGCCATTCATGATGTAGTTTTGGTAATCTGAAAACTTCAGCAATAGCAACAACAAAACAAAGAACATAGTAGAGTTCATATTCATTCTACTTGTACTTTTATATTCCTTAACCCCAATAGTTTAGCTGTAAGACAAATATAGTTGTCTATTGATTTACTTATTATTTATATTTGTGCTTGTGTGTTTTTTTTGTCTATTTATTTTGTCTACTTATTTCTTCTGTTAGAAGCTGCCCAGAGTAGGGGCATGCCACTAAATGGCACAGGATAGTAAGTAAGTAAGTAAGTAAGTAAGTAAGTAAGTAAGTAAGTAAGTAAGTAAGTAAGTAAGTAAACAAACAAACAAACAAACAAACAGTCGCGACTGCCACCTCCTCCTACGTCACCACAAGAGATGACAGGTCACGATCCTTCAAACACACATACACAACTTCGCTGCCACCAACCACACATAAACCTGACACTTCAGACTTAGTATGGATTTCAAAATAAAAATGATGATTTATTGAATACAAAAATAAAATGAAAATCACTGAGTAAAAGAATCACTTGTCACACTATATTTCTCAGTCCTTAAACCTGCACAGATCTTTGTTACTTAACACTCAATTACCTAACCTATATCTAACCCTGTCTACAGATCTTCTTTCAAGCCCTCTCTCAGCCCTCTCTCTATCTAAAACTCTCCTCTTTGCACTTCCCCCTTATATACAAAAACTCCACCCCTTTAAGACCCCCCTCCTGCCCTGCCATAGGCCAGGAAACTCCAGCGTTAGCCAAGAGAGGCAGGTGACGTCATGGCACACGTCACATAAATAAATAAATATTAACTGAAATCTTCTATATTCTATGTGAGCTTAACTCAGTATTATAGAAACACAAGCAGTGTAATAAAAATATAGTTGGAAGTCACCCAGTTTTAGAGTATAAATAATCTGGAAAACAGATGAGAGGATTTTTTCTGACCTGTATCAGTGATATAAAGAGATATGATGACTATACAGTATAAAACAGTTTGATGCAACACATGGTGAACCTTACCACATAGATACTATGCATAAGTTTGAGAATCTCATTACCAGTCATGGAGAAATAGGTAAATTGTATGATAGCAATCTACATGGCAAGCTAATCTGGGATATTTATTTATAACTAAATGGAGCATTCTCTGTATTTTATCACGTCTGATGAGATATAAGACATATCTCATTTAAGAATAACATATGCACAGGCTTTTATTCAGTGAGCTCCTTCTCATATGCAACGGTAACCTTTGCACAAAAACCTAGAAACGGTATATGGGCAAAATGTGATGAATAACAGGTTTTCTACTAGAGGAAAATATCTATTTAACACTTCACCATAGGTCAAATTATATTGAAATATATAACTCCTAAAATTGAGTACTTTATTTCACATGGGATCTAACTACATAATCTGTTATTTTATTGTCAATATGTACAAAATTCCAAGCTGAGCACTATGGACCTTCTTCCATTCTTTTTTAAATAAATATTTTTTAAAATGTTGTGATCAATACTAATTAATTATTTCATGACAAAATGTTAAGTGTAAGTGTGCGATCTGTGGAAAGTTTTACAGTGGATAGGTATCAGCCTGAAAACAAAGACATGACTTCAGCTTCCAAGGCTGTTAGATATTAACTTATCACATGGGAGAAGACATGAATCAAAAGCTTAAAATAAAGAGTAATGATGCATGACTAAGTGACAACTTTTACAGATTGTTCCCCAAACTGCTAAACCTACATTCCAGACTACACAGGACATGGCTATTAAGGGGGTTTTGCCAGACAATTCATTCCATAGCTTTGAAGCTACATGATTAGGCGATTCCATGCATAAGAGTTTAGAGAATAAAGCACACATATTTATTTGTATAAACTGTTCCATCTGTAAAACTCATCCTGTTTAATTTTTCAGCATGTTCATTTTTTGTGTGCATCTGAGAAAGTTTAACCAATTATTTGTAAAACAAGTGTATTATAAAACCCAGTTGCACAAGATAGGGAACAATACTTCAGACAGAAGCTTCCATTGCTTTGTGACTTGGAAAGGATGCGCCTCACCCCAGAATTTCAGGGTTTAGGGTTAGGAGTCCCTCCTGCTCCTTTATAGAGGGACAGGTTATGGGTAAACCTCTTGCAGGCCTCACATATCAAATGCAGGTGGGTCCTGTAGAATTGAGACAAGATAAAAGCTCCAGTGCCTTGGTCACGTCACTCTTTCTTACACACACACACACACACAGAGAGAGAGAGAGAGAAAGAGAGAGAGAACACTTTTCAAGCCTCAATAAAGAAGTGGGAAGAGTCATGGAGGAAGTCACCATATATGACAAAGTCAACCCTTTCTTTTCCCTTTGTGACTCTTCCAATTATAAGGCAATCAGGTTCATAAACAAGCATCCCCTTGGTGACAAGGGATTGCTATAAAGGATGGGAAAAGGAGAGGAGGCTATGTTAGTGAAAAGTATTTTCCATTCTTGCAAGATACTAGACATGGGCACTTCGTATTCGTTTACCTGGGTGCTGCAGTGGCCCAATCCCAACCTCCTAGTGGGCTTCCTGCAGCAATCAGTTGCTTTGTTGTTGCTCCAATCATGGAAGCAGCCCATCTCCTCACACAACCAACCACTCATCGGCTAAGAGGGGAGACTCCCTGTCTTCTTGCAAATAGGTTGTTGTGAGAAGATGTTCAGGTGAACATTCTCTCTTTTTTTTTGGTAAGTCTGCTTATTTCATTCCATATCTGTTTCATTTTATTTTATTTTTAGTTTTGATGTTTTTGCTCCATTTGAGATGGATCAGAGCATATCCTACTGCTCATTATTACAACTTACCAAATTGTGTTCACAATGATCTCTGTCCTTGTGTTCAGAAATATAAGAATTAATGGAAAAGTTTATGCATCGAGATGGACATATTCAACCTGTATTCATCTTTCTATACTGATTAATCTAGCTCACAAGAAAGCTCAAAGTGTTATCTCAGTGCAGCAATAATCAATCCCTTTTAAATCATAACCACCTCTATACACAGACTATTCAAAGAAACCATTTGTGTAATTAATTTATAAAAGGTGATGAACTCACTGATATTCTTCGGAAGGACTTGAATTCAAGATAAGTGAGGTGGTCAGATAACTCCTCTGGTTCCAAGTGATCAAAGAGTAGTGAGACTTTTCTTTTCTTACTACTGTTCGATTTTACTCGTTGTGTGATCTTCCTGGACCAATCTCGAGCATTTCTTTAAAAAAACAACAACAAAGGAACCAAAAGGTGGTATTTTATGTCCTGCAGCAGAATTTACTTACATAGTCTTTCAGATAAAAGCATGTAAACATTTATTTAAAAAACTGAATTTGTGTACATGCTACTGTTGACAAATTCTTGTCTTCCACTTTAGACTGGAATTCTTGTCAACAGTAGCATGAAACAATATTTCATGATTACCTTTGTACATGCTACTGTTGACAAATTCTTGTCAACAGTAGCATGAAACAATCTTTCATGATTACCTGTTATTTAAGGAATGATCAGTCTCATATTTTTGACCACTGGGATGATGGGTGCTTTTACTAGGCATCTGTCATTGCTTTTTGTTTTTATGCCAGCCCTTAGAATTCTCCATTTTGGGAGTTTCATCTGCCACATCCACAGCTAAATAATGCTAACCTGAAGAAAAAGCTGGGCTGGAAGGTTTCATGGCATGGGATGGGCTGATCTCTTGTCTAACTGCCTGTTAGAAATGGAAGTTGTCTTCACCTGTGATTTGTAGTCCAAAAAACCTGAATGGCACATACAGTACTTAAATTTTACTGCCCGTTCTAATAAATCAGCATTAGATATCAAATTAGCAGAATGCATTGTTCTCTTTTTTTTCAAGGAAAAAGTGGTTACAAGTGAATCTTATTTAATAGAATTCCTGTTTAGGATTTTTACTTAATTAGGTAAAACATCAAGCACTAAATCAAGCAAAAATATTTGCAAAAGAACAAGTTATAACTGTCAGATAAGACACGTTGTAACACAATGCTGCTCTCAGTTTTAATCTGTGTCGGGGTGTCTTTGTTAGCCAATTAATTTTAGAGGACTAGTGCTTTTTTAATTGTATATCATTCCCAGTATTTATTTAAAGGAAGGCTTATTTATAAACATGTGAAAAGTAGGTTATCTTTATATATGCACGTCTTCACACAGGGCAAAGATGGTGGGCAAAGGGTTCTGGGAAGGGATTTTTAGCAGAGACCCTCCTAGGAAAGAAACCAGTTTTTAAAAACCCTTTGAACATATAACTGAGTCTTCCACTTTACACTGGAATCTTTTTAGCTTTATAGCTTGAAATAAATAAAATGAATGAATAAGTAAATTTTACAAGAGAAAATGGTGAAACAAATTCCTTATGACTGGCAGGGCAACCCTATATTTGTCAACTCAAAGAGTAGTCCTACTGAGTTCTACTGAGTATCACACGTGACATGCCTCTTAGTTAATGCACACCAGGGGTTGGAAAACATCCGGCTTGTGGAATCTATTCTGTCAAAGAGGGCTCCCCGTAGAGAACCAAGCAGAGCCTAGTGCAAAGATGCTGACACTGAAGTAAAAAAATACGAGTCCAACCATTTGTTTTCGAGCACCATAAGTAAGCAGAGTTTCCACAAACACAATGCTACAAGTGTTCTTCATTTCAGCACTATAATTTAGGTGTGGATTCCCTGAGTGTTATAACTGTTCAGTACCAGAGAGTCATGAATCCTTACTGACTTACTGTAATGCTACAAAAGATCTGCCAATAAATTTAGATATGCTTTCTCTATACACCCCAGCATACATCACCTTAGTATATATTGTATGTACCATGTTTTTCTATGGTCATTCTTGCCTAGCCAAACTGTATCACTCATGCACAAGAGGAGCTTTGTTAACTATGTAGCTCAAATTTAGAATGCCCTCAAAACCAATACCAAAGTTTTTCAATCGTTTTGCAGCGTTTTACCACACAAGCATTACATTTTACAGTACCATCCAACCCTCTGTGGGCTGATAGATCAGAATGAGGTTCTTTGTTTACACTTCCCAGTCTCACACTGTCCCACTCCACTCACGATATCTGCAGGACACTCTCTCTCAGCCACTCTATGCCCCACACCAAAAAACGACCCTAGATTTTACTGCACCGTCTGTGTTTCTAGTGACAACAAAGCAGAAAACAAAAGGGTTTTTAAACTGCTTTCATGAATGAACAATCTCCACTCCTGCAACTCTCCTAAAATTCTGCAGGTTTGTTGCCTAGCAGCATGTACTTTAAAGAAAAAATTCTAACGTGCACAGCACAGAACCATCTCTACCTGTTTGCCTAAAATTCAGCAGATATAATTCCCACACTGCTGTGCAGATTTCACTCATTCTGCCAAATAGAAAGAAGCTGTCACAGTTTTGATTTCCAGTGGTCAAACACATGTCTCCAAATCAGTCCAAGGAAACCAGGATATTTTCTGAAGCATCAAAGCATGATCCAAATCAATCTACTAGTCAATGTGCACCCCTACTGATTGGCTTCATCATGCAGCTGCCACAATCCATGTATTGCACATGGTTCACCAAAACTGATAGCAGAAATAGTTTTATTCTTTATTGATCTATACTTCCCACATGAGTGACAAACTCAACTCTTATTAAGCCATTTTCATACCCAAATTGTAAGAGTAATCAACAGTGTGATTATACTTGAATCTCAACTACAAGGGCACAGCTTAATGTGCCAATACATTTGTGTGGAATTAATTGTTCTTCTGTGACCATGTCTATCCTTCAGTTACAGAACCCAAAGAAGTGCCATGGGTGCAGTCAGCAGTGTACAACCACACAGAGAAACATTTCACACAAAATGATGCCAGTCTACCAACCCCCAAATCAACCCACTGGCCATATGGTGCTGTTCCCATGAATTTGGGAATCAAGGAGCAACCATGCAATAGATTTGCACGTTAGAACTGTTTCTACAAAGATGAATGGAATCTTTCATAAACAAGAGGAAGAAGCATTAATATCCACAAATTATTTATAGATGATTATGCCTATATTATGCTTCAGAAAGTTTAATAGCAATTATGCTTTGTTTTCATGTACTGTATGTGTTTCTCCCAATATATTAAGACCTTGACACTCACATTTGAGATGTGTCAATTAGGCGACAGTGTAACTCCTCACCATTAGCTTTCACTAGTTCCTGAAATTCCTCCATGGTGTTTGTAAGACTGGAATCTGTTTTGAACATCATCCAGAATTCTCTTATCCAATACCTGTTTGCAAACAAAGAAAGCATTTTCAGTTTTACTTGTAACTGCTTCTTCACTTCTAGAAATAAAATCTTTCAGGTTTTCCTCACAATTGCATATATCAATCTTAAAATAATATGTAAAATGGTTCTATACTGTATGTCTTCCAGGTTGAGAGCCTGCATGGTATAATAAATGAACTGCTAAACAAGATGAATGGTGTTCAAATCTCTGTTCAGTCATAAAAACTCACTGGGTGTCTGTGTAACAGTAAACCACTCATGGATATTTCAGTTTTGAATTGGCAAGAACGCTCAGGGGAGTGTGGTATATTATGACACCTTAGAATGGAAAAATTAAAAATAAAAACTTCAGTTTTGTTTACTCCCATAAGCTTAATATTTCAAACCTAATTTAAAAATGTTCGCAATGCGGCTCTCGATTTCTGTGAAAATTGAAACAGTTTCCTTAGCTTCTCCTCAGAATGTGTGTGTGTTCATTTACACCTAACTGTCTAACTAACCAACTTCATGACTTCTGATTTGCTGGAATTTATGCTTTCCATTCCCATCACTACAATTTCTACTTTATTTTAAGTAATCTTCTCACTTTGGAGAAATTTCTGATGCTGAAATTAAATTAATGACTGTGTTGGATCTCTTGAGTAATTCTTCATCCACATATATGTTTAATTGAAAATAGATGTGGTCTTTTTTCTAAGAAATAATACCAGCACCTTCTGTCAAACTGTTCAAAATTATGGTACCAGCAAATTACTATTTAATAGTTCATTTCAGGCTTAAAGTACTACTTAAGATGTAATCATCAATCATTTCTACTTAAGATGGTGTTATGACATCACTCCCATGAATAAGCTACTCAGAAGTCTCACTGAGCAAAGCATAATGAGTTACTGTAGGTATCTGGCTGTAGAGCCAGAGGTTGGGAGTTTGATTCCCCACTGTGCCAGCCTGTATAGTAATGGGCAAGCTACACAGTCCCAGGGTGCCCCCAGAAGAAGGGAATGGTAAACCACTTCTCTACCTAGAAAACTTTGGAAGCAATCGCCACCAGTTGGAATTGATTTGACAGCACACAATTAATATTAAGTGTGTACAGTATAAGCTTGCAGCTTTAATACTGTATGGTTCAATGGGTTGATCCAGACTAAGTTAGCCACACAGTGACTTACTGAAAGAAATGGAAAAAGTACTAACCAAATTCATTGATTTCAAAGCTTGACTAAAACAATCTGGATCCCTCACATATATTTATTGTACATAGACAGTTGGCATCTGTTGCCATGACTCAAGTTCACAAATACCCTGTTAACCCTAATGCTAAAATCAAGTAACCCATTACTTTTTTCCCATTTATTTTTGCATTGCAAGAGTATTTGGTTCAGTGTTAGAAAAGGGAATCTACTATCTTCACAAATGTTCAAAAAGAAGAAAACACCTTAAGATTGTGAAGGACAAAGTGTGTGTCCAGATGAAAGGGCTGTTCATAAATTGTCCTGGCCCAACTCCCATTGCCAAAAACTGTACACACAACGGTAATCATGTAGTGCTTTGTCCTTCAGTGCAATGTCTTTCACCCGCATGGCTCTGTGTATGATTGTGAGTCTGCTTCCACAACCAGGATTGCCCACTAGACTGTGTGACTGCTCTTGCCCTCTGCATTTCCTCAAACACATTCTGGGCTTAATTTCTGCACCAAATATGATACCAGCTGTTTCATAAATTTTGGAATAATTATTTAAAAAGTAAATACTAGTTACAGTGACTGCAACCATGGGAAGGTGCATGAGTGCTAAACCTCATTCTTCCTTGTATTCCAAATCTGGAAAAAAAACACCCAATGGTGGCTATCTATACCACTGTCTAAGTCACTAATAATGTAATACTTCAAGGCTATTCAGCTTACCCTTAAAACAATACTGACACATTTATTTCAAAAGGTGCCTTCCCACTCTACTTTTCCATCAAGACCAGCCTTCAAGGTACCTTAACACTACACAAACAGATACACTGCAATTTGATTACAACAGTATAAATTTTGAAAATAGTTCCTTATAATGAAAATATACATTTGCACCTGATATCTTCAGAGCTTCCACATGTACAATGCATTTCAGTAATCTAATGTGTTTCATTTAAGAAGTCACCCTTTAAAAAAGTTCTTACCTTACAAGGTAGCATATCTTAGAGCAAAACAAAGGAGAGTTATTTTCCAAAGCATCCCGATATGTAATGTGCTGTTAAGAAAACTGTGTCAAAGTGCAACAGAAAATAAAGCAGTTTATTCAATCTTATTTGAAAAACTCCAGTAATACAGGTAAAGCAATACAAAATCAGGAGCAGGTGGTACCTTTATTACACCACTTGTTTTTCCTAGCTAAATAAGAAATTCTTTGAATTTCAAAAAGGTGAAGAGGGAGAAAAAAATTCTTTGAATTTCAAAAAGAAGGTGAAGAGGGAGAAAAGGGGGATACAGAGTGCTTGGCAACCTTTTGTCTAAAGAGCTGGGTGAAAAATTCCAAACTATAGACTGAGGAGGAGTTTGAAACCACACCCTTTGCCCCCCCCCAAAGCCTTTTGCAGACAGTACTGTTTCTGTATCCATCTAAAGAAGCTAACCTGGCCCCACCAACAGCCATGAGACTTTAATAAAAATATGTAATTTTCTGAACTACCCACAAGAACTTGATGCACTGACTGAAGAAGATGAATTAACATTGAAAGCTAGCTGTCTCTTGTTTGCTTGATTTTTTAAAAGTGGTCTAATAAAGGTATCACCTCTTCCTGCATTTGTACTGTTTTGGAGACCACACAGCCCTTCTCTGATTTTTGATGAAACATTTATAGCAGTTAACTGAGAAAAGAATATTGTGCCATTAAGAAGCAAACACCAAAGAAAGACATTTGCTTTACAGCAGTTGCAAGGCTTCTTTCTGAAGGCACTGGTGCTCAATTTGGAGGCACTTTGGGATTCATCTCAGTCACTGGAGGCCCAGGTAGACTCAGCAGTACAGAGTTGCTTGGTCAGCTTCAGTTAGCCCACCAGTCATGATCACTCCTGAACAGAGACACCCGTACCACAGCAAGAGGTCACACATTAGTAAATCTCTACTTAGTTTACTGAAATGCACTTGTGATTGGGTTAATTAAAAGTCGGGAGCCTTTCCTCTTTTTTGGCGGGAAATGATGACTGAGTCTCTTTTTGACCATTAACACATTTACTGAATTGGACATTCTGTGAATGTACTATAACTTCTAACGGTTCAAAGCAACTGAGATCAGGCAACTGTTCAATTTGGGAAGACGATAACTCGGTCTGTAAATTAACAAGATTCATGGTGGGGCTGGTTCAAAACGTTTCCGATTGGTGGGCTTCCTCGGCGAAGCAATCCAGATCGCACATATTGTCCCACAGAATGGTTGTCTGGCTCAATGTCCCTCTGGAGGTGGATGGTTGAAGGATGGGTCCGGTCGAATCACCTTCCTCGAGTGACCTTGTCCTTGAAGGAAAACCACGACCGTCCATTCTAGGGCTTTGACCGAGGTGTTCTTTTCTTTAGATTTTTCTGGATCAGGTAGGAACCTTCCTACCTTCAAATTCAGAAAGTCCTCTAACAACCCGCACGCTCTCTCATAATTTTCTTCCTCCCCCTTCTTCCCTTCTCTCTCTCTCTCTTATATTGAACTGTCTCCTCCCACCTTTTCCCCCTATTTTCTTCTCCCACACGGGTAGAATTAACTCTTTCCCCTCTTCTCAGTCTCTCTCTCCTACCAGACATACAGTGGTGCCTTGACTTGCCAACGTTCCAACTTACGACCATTTCGAGTTACGACCATCTCCAGCCGCAAAATTTTGCTTAGACTTGCGGCCAGAGCTTCAAGTTACAACCAAAAAAGGCAGGGAAAAAGGCAGGGAATTCAAATTGCTAACCGTTGGTAGGCAAATGGGCTACTTCTTTGTAGCTCTTTCACTCCAACGGTTAGAGAGTGTGCGACTGGAGGAGGTTTCGGACTGCCTGGTAAGGTAAGGTACTGCTTTCTGCTTTTAAAAAATTGTTCTGGGTGGTGGTATTATGTTTTTATGCTGTGATGGGTTTTGCAGGTTTGTTTGTTTTTTTGGTATTTTTTTCCATTTCTGATGGGTCTTGGGGGGTTTGGTTGCTTTTTGGAGTTTTCTTCTCCATTTTCAATGGTTCTGGGGAGGTTGTTTACTTTTTGGGTTTTTTAATCCGGGGGGTTTGGTTGCTTTTTGGAGTTTTCTTCTCCATTTTCAATGGTTCTGGGGAGGTTGTTTACTTTTTGGGTTTTTTAATCCCATTTCCGATGGGTCTTGCACACTTCACTTGCTTTTTGCTTTGCTTTTTTTGCATTTCCGATGGGACTTGCGCATTTTACTTGCTTTCTGCTTTGCCTTTTTTGCATTTCCTATGGGTCTTGCACGCTTTGCTTGCTTTTCTTTCCCCCACCCCCTTCGGCCGGAACGGATTAATCGCGTTTCCGATGGATCTTGCAGTGATTTTTTTAAAAAAATTATTTATTTTGTGATTATTTTTTTCTTCGGCCTGAACAGATTAATTGCATTTCAATGCATTCCTATGGGAAACAGAGCTTTGACTTACAACCATTTGAGTTACGACCAGAGTTCCAGAACCAATTAAGTTTGTAAGTTGAGGTACCACTGTACTTCAATCTTCTCCTCCTTCTCCTTTGATCCCTCTTTCTTTCCTTCTATTATTTTCGATTCCTTAATTTCTATCGTCTTCCCTACTTCTATAACTTTTTCCTGTTCCAACATCTCTAGCTGAGGGGACGGCTCACTCTGCTCTTTCACCTTGGGATCTACTGCTCCTTCACAGCATTGTACATGGGAGATCCTGAAGATGACACAGAAGCTGCAGCTGCCGTATTATGCAGCAGCTAGACTACTGCAAGGAACACCAAATAGAAACTAAATGACGGTGGCTTCTAAACAACAGCACTGGCTTCCAATATATTCCCAGTTTACATTCAAGATGTTGACAATCATTTTAAAACTCTAAGTGTAGTAGCCCAAAACTGGGAGGGGAGGGACAGAAATGTAAGTATGTAAGTATGTAAGTATGTAAGTATGTATGTATGTATGTAAGTAAGTAAGTAAGTAAGTAAGTAGTCAGTTTTAGACAGAGATGTGAAGGAGCACCTCTCTGCATATTTACCTGCCTAATTAAGTTTTATTGGGGACCCTCCTCCATGTCCTACAACTGAGCGCTATTATACTAACTGCAGATGTAGAAGACAGCCTTCTCATCTGTAGCACTCCCATTGGAATGTGAGCCCCGCCTTCCAGCTGGATGATTCTGTGATTTGGATACATGGCTGTGAAGCTACAAGTTGGAAGTCTGATTCCTTACTGTGCCTCCCAGGAGAAGAGTCAGCCTGTGTAGCCTTTGACATAATCCCAGAGCACCCCCAGAAGAACGGGATGGCAAACCATTTCTGAATACTTTATATGCAGAAAACCTGGGAAATGGTTGCCATAAGTCAGAACAGACTTGGCAACAAATTATTATTGTAAATTATTATTGTAAACAAATTATTATTATAAATGGAGGGAAACACAACGAACAGCAGAGAATGGCCAGCCAACCTAAATTCTAGAGAAGCACAGCCAGCTAAATGTGCTAAATTAAACAAATAATTCTTATTTAGATGGCCTATGGTGAGAGCAAGGGGGCACTGATCTAGGGGAAGGTACCCCACTCTGACCATTGTTCTTGTACAATCACATACAGTGGACCCTCTACTTAAGGAATTAGTCCGTATTGGAATGGTGGCTGCAAGTCAAAAAGTCTGTAAGTCGAATCTCCATTGACGTACAATGCACTGAAAACCGATTAATCCCATAACCAGAAGTTTTTATTCTATTTTTATTCCATTTTGGTTTTTTTCTGGTCTGTAAGTCGATTCTCTGGCTGCAAGTCGAATCTAAATTTTGCAGCCAGAGAAGTCTGTAACTCGAAAAGTCTGTAAGTCGAGCCGTCTGTAAGTCAAGGGTCCACTGTATAACTTGAAACAAACTAATTTATGGGGCAGATATAGGCAACTTTTGACTCTCCAGAGGTCACTGGACCACTGCTGCCATCAGGTCTAGCCAAAACAGACAATGGTGAGTTCCAGTCCAAGTTTGGGGATCCATATGTAGGCCCCATCATAAGGCACAAGTTCATTTGGCAAGCAGACAAGCAAATGACAAAGACACTGTCTTTTATATAAAATATTAAGTAATTGTAAGAACAAAGCATTCAATGAGTTGTCAGATGATTAAAATTAAATAAAACTTCAGAGGGAACAAACATTACCATAGAACCTTGTGGAACAATTTAATTTAAACAGGAATTCAAATCATTTCATGTGCTTTTGGGAAAAGATGTAAAAGGACCAAAATTATTTGTTTTTGACTCAGGAAAAAATTTGCAGGCAAAACTGGAAGTTTATATGTGTCATACCAGACAAATTTCAACCGTGTTATTTCTGCCTCTGAGTTTCAAATAAAAGTTATACATATTGAGAATTAAAACATTTTTTTTCCAAAGGACCAAATCTATTTCATCAGAAATATTTTAAAAAATTGTTACTAAGTGGTAGCCACTCCCACAAACATGAGGCTAACAGAGTACTGTAATCCATGGCATAGTATCTACAAATCCTTTAGATTTACAAAACCACAATAGCTGTATAAGTAATAAATATACTGCAAATGTTAAAAGGATATAGATTTATTAGTTTTCGCAGCATCTCAGTGGAGGAGAGGATGAGTTGGTGCATAGTCAACGTTACCCGCAACAGTTGATCATTTTTGCATAGGTTTCCTTCAGAATCTGAAAGCATTAAGAAACAGTGTTACTAAGAACATTATAAACATTTATTTCCCTTGCACCCAAAGAGTCTAACACAACCTGCAAAGGATTTCAAGTAGATCACTGATTTATCACCACCAACCATCTCTCTTACATTTGGAGTTACAGATTTCCCAGGGTGCCACATTGGTGAAGCAAGGACATTCTACTCTTGCCCCTTGTCTTTTGTAACTGCCTGAATGTTTATTCTCTCCATGCCCTATTAAAGGTTATTTTAATTAAGAAAATGTGCTGTGGCAGGGATAAAGATTTCTACTAAACCTACATTTGTTCAGAGGTACCCAATACGCAGCAAGTATAATTCCTCCTCTCCTATCAAGTATTTAAGCAGGTTCTCAAACCAGATAGAAGACAAAGCTACCAGGACAAGACAATGGTGGGCAAACATCAGTTAACCCCTGGATCACATTCAGCATCCGAGCAAGTCCATATAAACAATACCTTGGACATGGATAAATGATTATTTAAAAGCAAACAATCACTAAGAGTTAATGGAAGGACATCCAAAAATTATCCACCTTATATGACAAATTACATTTTTTAACTTTTGTGTGTCTGTATGCATTAGTAAAATAAAAAAAAAACTAAGGTCCCATCACCTCCTGGCCACTGGTCCCATCACCTCCTGGCAAACAGAAGGGGAAGAAATGGAGGCAGTGACAGATTTTACTTTCTTGGGCTCCATGATCACTGCAGATGGTGACAACAGCCACAAAATCAAAAGACGCCTGCTTCTTGGGAGGAAAGCGCTGACATACCTAGATAGCATCTTAAAAAGCAGAGACATCACCTTGCCGACAAAGGCCAACATAAGCCAAAGCTATGGTTTTAAATCTTCTGATACACTACATGTTGCTGTCTCACATGACTTAACAACTAAACAACAACATGCACTTCATTTATTTCACACTGCTTTTAAATCTTCTGATACACTACATGCTGCTGTTTCATTGTATATTTTTACTGCTGCTTTTAATACTGTTTTAGAGGGTTTTAAAAATGTCATTGCTACAATTTTCAAGTATGTAAACCATTGTGTATATGATTTAAATAGAAAATACAAATACTATATGCAAGGAACCCTCTGAACTTGGATGAGATTTGTGTCCTAAGAGGAAGTGTTGAACCTGATTATTTCATAGGCAGTCTTTTCTGGAAAACTGCAAACTCCCTTCGCGAAGGTTAGTATTCTTTGATTCTTGTCCTTTTCTAAATACCTAATATAATCATGAGTTGTGAAGTCAGTTCTGCTTTACAGTGACCTTCTTAGGGTTTTTCTAAGTACACAAGACTCAGAAATTGAATCTTACCTGTCCCTCCTTCTGGAGGCACTCTGAGACAATGAGTCTTGTTCAAGGTTACATAGGGGCAGGGCATTTGAACCCACCAGCCACACATGCTCTGGCTGATGTCACCTGGCCTCTCCCCAGGAAAGCACAGGAGAGATTCAAGCTCCCAACACCTGGCTCCGTAGGCAAGTACGCCAAGAGAACAACTAGTTTCACGGTTCTTTTTAGGTGTAACAAGAGTTTCAGTTCATTTCAAAGAGCATTTTATAGTCATATTCACAAGATTTATTTTCAGGTTTATGCCATTCTTTAATCCTAAATGGGAAAGTAAGGCTTGTGGTGCAGTGGTTAAACTGTAGTCAAGCCTCTGCTCATGACCCAAATTCACCCCTGACGGCTTCAAGTAGCTGGCTCACGGTTGACTCAGCCTTCTATCCTTCCGAGGTTGGTAAAATGAAAAGCCTAAGATGTCAGCTCACTGACAGCTGTACTTTAGAACTTATTCTTGTGTTTACTAATGTTAATCAGCATAAGTGACTTTGTGAGCACCTAATTCATGTCTTTCGTTCCTTAAGACTAATTAGTGAAAATGGATACTGTTGTTCTTTTCAGCCAAGCCTTGCTACTATAACTGCATACATGACTGCTATGGAGAAAAAGACACTTATTTTACATAGCAGTCATTGGTAACTAGTTACAAATAACTGTTTTCTGCAACTAGTTGCTTTTTAACATAAAATGCAATGAATATTAAAAAGTTTCAGTAATAATGACAAAAAGTTACAAAGTTATTTCCGGTCTAATGAGAATTATTTTCTACGCCAAGAGAACAACTAGTTTCATGTTCTTTTTAGGTGTAACAAGAGTTTCAGTTCATTTCAAAGAGCATTTTATAGTCATATTCACAAGATTTATTTTCAGGTTTATGCCATTCTTTAATCCTAAATGGGAAAGTAAGGCTTGTGGTGCAGTGGTTAAACTGTAGTCAAGCCTCTGCTCATGACCCAAATTCACCCCTGACGGCTTCAAGTAGCTGGCTCACGGTTGACTCAGCCTTCTATCCTTCCGAGGTTGGTAAAATGAAAAGCCTAAGATGTCAGCTCACTGACAGGCCGTTTTATCTGAATAATTATTTTGTAAACCAAGCAAGGAGTAATCTAGCACTATGGGGCAGTATATAAGTTGAAACAAGTATGCCTTCATTTTGTATTTTGCCTTTTTGTAAACAAGTATAGAATGTAATATCAGAACTACCTACTAGAGGGAACCAGATGCTCACAACCTTCTTACTCCAGAGTAACCCCACCATGTACTGTATAGTGTAATCAAAATTTGGACTTTTCTTATTTCAGTTCAACGCATGAATATGTTATGGACCGATGCATTCATGCGAATATGCAAAAACACAACTAGCATCTTAGGCTTTTTTTCATCACCTTCCACATGGTAGCATATTTCAATACATGCTCAAACCATGTGGAATTTATCTTAGTTTTAACAAGATGAAAGCAGTTTAGAAGACTCACTCTTATTTCCGCTGTCAATGAAACCACATACCCTGCTGAGCAGCAACCCGCAGAGTGAATGTTAAAGTAAGCAGTGTGTATATTAGAATAAATGCATTCTACAGCCTGCTTTTAAATGCAACGTCGTTATGCTTCTTTAAAAATGAAATAACACAGCATCATAAAAGCAAAGTTTTCTTGAAAATGTGCCTTCTTGTTGCCAGCTGTGGCATCACATCTGATGTGGCTACCTTCTTATTCCCCTGGGCTCCTATGTTTCTCTATTTCTCTGTCTATAATTCGCCATGGCAATATCAAAAACAAAATGAAGGACTTCCAAAAGAGATATGAATTGGGTCTCTAAGAATTTATATGGTAGCACAGCAGGAATCCTCAATTCATGAGTTCATTCACACTCAGGCAGTTGTTAACATGAACACATAAAAGCTTATCTACAAGCCTGCAAGAGGATGATAAACCTTATGGAACAGCTTCCTAGATACCTACCACTGTACCTAGGCATACACTTCTGGATTTTAGCACAGTTTTCCTGCACACACATACACTACATCCTAACTACCAGATTTTATTTTCTTCTTTTCACACTCAATATTTAAATGAATTTACACAACTTTGTCTCCCCTCCAGCCACATCCACCCTCTTTCCTGCACACACCTTGTGAAACTCCCAGCTGTCAGCTTTTAAACACTCACATTCAACTCCTCTTTTATTCTCCAAGCCCCTAAGCCACAGCCTTCTAAGGACCATGATTAGCTCGGCTAAAAGCCAATGAGAGATCAGACACTGAAGCTGTCATACCAATATTCAGGGATTTTTGTTTTTCCAAAATCAGCATCCTTGCAGCATACACAATATGAAGAAGGTGCCTGGCTTTCTCTTTTTCTCCAGACACACCCACACCTATCTACCTACCAAGGCATTATTATGATCATCTGCCAAGGCCCTTCTTTGGGAGCCCTATGAGAGGTACACTATATTATAGAAACAAGTTTCCTCAGCATTAGCAACCTGATACACTCCCACACAGAAAGGCTTGCTTGGAAGTCATGCTGCTATCTTTTCAGCACCACTTTAACGTAATTTGGTGCATCAAACCAGTGGCCGGGAATTAGAATGCCCACTGTGCTTTCTAGGGAGGAAGATCAGCCAGGATCACCCAAAGTGTATGTACCAGATGGGGTTAAATGCCATGTCACCCATGTGGCCTTGAGGGGCCTGCAACAAACTCAGAGTACCACCAGAATGAGGGACTGGTGCACCTGCGTATTTTATACCTAGAAAACCCAGTGAGGTTTCCTGTAAGTCAGAACTGATTTGACAGAACACACATGCTTTAAAATGTTTTTAATGGAAAGAGTTTCTCTTTTTTTATATATTTACCTTATGGTAACTATTTGTTTATGTTACCCAGGGTAGTGCAGTGAATAATGCACTGGTTCCCAACCTTGGGTCTCCAAATGTTCTTGACTGCAACTCCCAGAAATCCTGGCCAGCACAGTTAGTACTGGGGACGCAAGGTTGGAAACTAGTGGGGTAGAGTAATAGACTAAGGAGTCCTGAGTTCAAATCCTCACTCAGCTAGGGAAACCCACTAAAGTTGTGTAATAGATAAAACCACTCCTTAAATATCTCATTTAGCTGGAAAAACCATCAGGATCACTATAAGTTAATTCCAACTTGAAGGCACATAACAACTATTTGTTTTATTGTCTTGAAATTTTAAATGAAATGAATGCTGGTTTTTAAAATGAACACATAATTATAAGTCCACTTTACTATAAGATTAGAAGCCTGCAGTTCAAATCACCCCCTTTGCCTTTTTTACACTGAGTGCTAAATTAGTTCTCCATACATTCCAATGTTGTCCTCTCTTTGAGTGCTTTCAATAGGTTAGCTTAGATTGGCCCTTTACTGCATAATTATGAGTCATCATATGTTCCCACCTAACTTTTCATTAAGAGTCACCAATGATCCATCCTAATTCTATTCACTGACCCATCCTAACTTTATTTACTTCCATCTCATTCAGCAGAACTTAATGACAGGTTATGTATCTTCGTAGTCTGCACCTTTTGTAATGCATATGCTGTTATCCAACTCAAAAACCAAAGTGTTTTGTAAATAAAAAATGAAAGCAAAAGCATT